ATATGACTTTATTTCCTCCTCGCGGGTATACATAGCATCGTAAATGTGTAGTGGGAGATGGCCGGTTTTTAATGAGGCAAATGCCCGATTGCAATTGGAGTAACGCTACTATCGGTATTTGAGGCGTGGTGTTGTAAGATTGAGGTGGAGGACTCGCATTAGAATGATAGATTCGACATTGACGAGAAGTCGTCGATTTTAGATGTACTTGTGAGTGCTTTCGACTTCGCTTTGGATGCGATTCTTCCTAGCTATCCCAGATATGCAGTCCATACTGAGCGATTACACCGACACCACTGGGCGGTGAAGAATTCGTCTTTGCCGGCGCTATCCGTTACGAAGTCGGTGAATAAGTTTTTTTTTTTGGCATCAGATTTTAATTGCGTATGCAGCTATCTAGCTATGACACAATATCAAAGAAAAGTGCAGAATAGATGATTCAACGTAAAGGAAAAGCACTCATGCCTCAGATTCCATTTGAAAGTACCACTGCGAAGTTATGGCGGCTTTTTCTTCACCCCAAGTCAACCCTCATCCGTGAATACCCACCCACGAGAACGTCTCAAAAACCCTGAGTTATCCAGACATGCCTCCATCATCTTTCAACTTTCAATTTTTCTCCGCGCGAAATATGGTCTTTGGTGTCTCCTTCCCAGGTGGAGTAGGTGCCCAGGCTACTTAAACTATACCAGAGAACACCACCAGGAGGCGGATAACAACACCTGCCATCGTCGGCTTGTTTTTATAGTGTGAGCTGCACTCTGGAAAGCGAAGTCTTGGCGCGCACAAAGCCCAATTCGTAAAACTCTTGCCAAAATTCAAAATGACACTCCCGTCGAGTTTGTATCCTTCCTTTGCATCATCTTGTGAACTTGTCCTGATCCATCTCACGTCCATCCCGAAGAACTGTCTCCCAGATTTGTGCGCCACGCTTTGCCTCCTCCAGCGGGTGTAAATATTGGCGTGGGCGTGTACCTGGCGACCAGCTGAGGCCAGAGAAGGTAGAAGAGAGGTGTGGTCATTGGGATGCGGATGTACTAGGTCGTATTTGTAGACTTGACGAGACTGAGGCAGGCATCAAACTCGTTGGGAGCGGAAAAACGACGTGGTGGAGTAATTTTAAAATTTGCCTCGTGGGCCAACTTCTTTGATATTGCGAAATTCGACTAAACTTGGCTCTGGGAGAATATTTCACTACCAGGTTCGTAGAGAGCCCGCGTACAGGTGTTTGGTGCTGCCCTCCTCCAAAAGCATATCCTCGGCTAGCTCGAACTCGCGAGCTTTGGATGACAAGACACTTCAAGTGTCTTCACTGATGAGATCGCTATGAGACCAACGCTCGAACCAACTGAGACACGAAGACCTTCAGTTTATAGTTAAAAGGATATTTGCACTAATGAAGGACAAAGGGCGCTTCTTAGTTAACGAACGAATGGGGACTTGTAAGGGGTGGCACTGTCTGAGATAGGTTGTGTAATAGGCATATGATGGAATATACTGCCCCAGACATAGATATCCTTGGATTGCAGGTAGAGAGGACGTTGATATCTTGGAAATGCATACTGAGTCGGGATGATAATTACATCAATGATATGCAGGGCTATGAAAGACGAGAATAAATTATAATTGAGCAGGCTAGAATGAAAGTATACAATTGATAAGATAGCCGTTGACTCAGTCATTGCGGGGGCGATATTTCACTTGGCAAAGGTTTTGTATAGCAAGATGGTCAAACTGGCTCTCTTCTAAGCCCCATCTATGCGGAGAACGGGTCTAGTGGAAAAATACCTCAAGAGCCAAGTCTCTTGGAAGCTCACGAGGCCATTCCCACAAAGAAGTCACAAGAGCATTTCAATTGACTAGCACGAGAGTTTGAACACTAAGCTACTACCCTACCCATTGAAATTGACCCGAAGTAGCAAAGGGCTCCATACGTCGGCCGTCCAAATAGCTTTTTTATCTTCATGTTCTACCGAGCGTGAGCGAACGCTATTGCTCCATCCTAGGGGAGGGAGATGTGATTTGATTTACACGCTATCCGTATCAGTCATATGCCCTACACGTATGAGGCGTAATACGGGTATGTGATCTCGACGGACTCACTACTACCCACGTGCACAGCTTTGTCCGACACAAGAACTGTAATAATAGAAAGATGGGCAAAAATAATACAGTGTCTGGACGTAAGCGCTCCGCGCCAAATCCTGTTTTCCCAGCAGCTTAGTAGGCATTAAGAGTGCAGCTGACACTATAAACACAAGCCAACGACGGAAGGTGTTGTGGTCCGCCTTCTGGTGGTGTTCTCTGGTATAGTTTAAGTAGCCTGGGCACCTACTCCACCTGGGAAGGAGACACCAAAGACCATATTTCGCGCGGAGAAAAATTGAAAGTTGAAAGATGATGGAGGCATGTCTGGATAACTCAGGGTTTTTGAGACGTTCCCCTGGGTGGGTATTCACGGATGAGGGTTGACTTGGGGTGAAGAAAAAGCCGCCATAACTTCGCAGTGGTACTTTCAAATGGAATCTGAGGCATGAGTGCTCTTCCTTTACGTTGAATCATCTATTCTGTACTTTTCTTTGATATTGTGTCATAGCTAGATAGCTGCATACGCAATTAAAATCTGATGCAAGAAAGAAAAAAGACATAAGATACGACGGCTATGGGCAGGTTTGTGGTGGACGAGGAAAGCCGGCGAAATTAATGGGTACGGGACTGCCCCAGTACCTGTGCAAGGACTAAGACTGAGGACAGAGTTACCCATGTGACGCGTTCCGGGAGGCCAACTAGCCAGCCGTTATAATAATAATAATCCATTCATGTCCTATTTGAGTTTGCAACTGTGTAGGACAGGCTATTTAAATACAACTTATCTTTTACATTCTAATTCCAGCCGTTATAGACTTGCGTGCTACCGAGACAATTACTCTCTACCTCTTTCTCCACCTTTCCAGTCCTTCCATCAATCGTGCCTCTGGACAATTCCAAGGTCGTTTGGAAATATTGAAAAAAAATCTAGATAGAAACTTTTAGCGGTAAATTAGCTTCGGTCGACATAGCTACACTGTTGAATCTTTGATAGTATATATTACCCTGGCTATTTTGGCGCCAGACTTTGATTTCCACATGGTGAAGCGTGAAGTGGAGATATGAAGGGGACATTGAAGGCATAGATGTTAAATATGAGGAGTCTTGGTCAAAATTAATCATCCTTGTACCGTCAACATGATAGAGTTAGGATTGAGATAAATTTAAACTTAAGAGTAAGAGGGTGATGCCTCTTATCATCTAATATAACCTGTATTAGTAGTTCCACGTTAGCGTGTAGACGAGGCTGGTAGACACAAGTTAGTAGGAGCTTACTGTGATTATAAGCTTTGCGGAAGTCATACTGCAGAGCCATGATGGGTGGACGATGTTGTATTTTGTGGGTGACAGTGAATAGACTCACTCAATACTATCCTGCAGGTTTAGGAACAGAAAGTGAAAGACTAAACCTGTATCCTTTTATTGTGGGTACATCTATGAAACTATATACATGCTCGCAACAATAGACTTCTCCGTCGTAAATCACGCCCCTATGCCGGAAAGGGGCTTCTGTTCTTTCAGCATTCCAAACACGCGACACCTTTATCCTAACCGATTCTCCCTCAACACGAAGTGGAAGTGGATGACATGCCAATCCTTCAGCCTGTTCCTCCCTCTAAACCCTGCAGTGGGAAGAGGGGAGAATTGCAGAAACTGAGTTGATGGAAAAAGTATGGTTGATTCAAGTGGATGGCAATGAGGTGTAGCTGTGCCTACCGAAAGCTATATTCATAATCGAAGGACATTATCTGCATAGGATACGTATTTTAGAGAAATTCCTCTTTGGTTATTACACGCACCGGCCCATGAGCCGACACATCGGGACGAAGCAAATTTAGAAAAAAATAAATCCCGATAACCGCTTCTGAACTAAAGGTCCATTTTTATTCCTTGTTGAGTTTTATGAAGACATCTCATCCTTTGAAACGCGAATTCCCAATTATTTTTCAATTATTTAGCTCTTGTAAAGCATTCAGTCGTGAAACATATCTAGTCTAAACTGGATACTTTGAGTTCTCAAGGCTCGCACTCCATGGCACGGCAAAGACGGCCAAGAAATTCTCATTGTGCTTTCTCTCTGAACACCAGACGCCAGATTCTTATCACGCCTGAATACAGGGGTTTTTGGTGTCATTGTGGTTGACTTAATCACTATTGCTTGAGTATCACGTTCCTGTTTTAAAAAGTTACATGTCTATAAAATTAGGGTCTGACAAATACATGATTGAAGACCGAGTTTCGAGGTCCTGTCTTACTAATCTGCAGTCCAACTAACAATATATGCCGTTCTTGAGAAACTGAAGCTGAATCTCGCATCATAAGAGGAGAAAATCTGGTCCAGGGATCTCGTCATCCAGGAATTAGGGCCGGAGGGAAGTAGCAATTTGATAACCAAGCTACGCAAAGTTCTTGGTCTCATAGGTAATTTTAACACTATAAGCCTTCCTTCCATGTCTCGCTTTTAGTTCTGTTACAAATGACGCACTATCCTGGCTCCGAACCTCCGCGCCGTCAATTTATCCTGGACCCTAGCATATTCCAAGTAAAGTGCTTGTATTTTATTCTCCCACTCGGTAAGTCTTAGTCTTAGAGCTTGGACAGGATAAGCTCTTATACCACCTCAAGTTTGGCACTCATGGTTGGGTAATATTGGCTGCTGAGACCATTTTTTTGGAAGATACCGGTAAAAAAAGTGTAATGTCTGCCGGGTAAAAAGACAAAAGTTCAAACCATAGGTAAATCTTAGTAGAAAACGGTGGGGCAAGCTAAGGCTTCTGTTCGTTGTCTGTTGATCTATTCTAGAAAAGCTTTGATACTTATTCTCCGTGGAATTAATTATCAAGAGAAAAGAATTGTTCCCCACAAGAACTTGCCTTTCATCAATCGAACGAGAAATACTTGCTTTGTGGCAGTTACAAGTTCGATTTAATCATTTTGGTGGCACTAGCCTCTTTGTTTATGGTTACTTCACCATTATTTTCTCCATTCCCAAAGAAGATAACCTCAACTGTCAGATCATCTCTATTTGGTTTTAGTTTTAGAGTTAGAGACAGAAATGAGGGTTAAACTCACCGATATCTTCTTGAGTATGGAGCAGTTAGTGATAGTAATGCAGACACCAAGTCACTGTTGTTTCCCCCAAGGGCGTTTCGAACTAGATGCGTTGCAGCATTTTTGTCCTGTACAACAAATCTTTCATTTTCAGTCTTGATACCCCATTGCTTTTGTCTAATCGGGGTCTTCTGAGAATTAAGGTTCTGACTGTCAATATTCAGCGTGATGGGCATACTAAATTTCTCGCCTTTTTTGATTTCGTTTTTCCAAAAATCACCATTAACACCTTCAGACTGCTTCTGTATCCATTGACCTACCAGGTCGACTACTTCCTCGTTGCTGAGCATTTCCCAAAGTCCGTCTGTAGCCATAACAACAAAGTCACCCTTTTCGGGAAGTATTTGAGTCGTGCTAACTACAGGTTCTGCGGTAACGTAAGGTGGCGTTTGGAGAAGCTTGGAAGGAGTACGTCCAAAGAAATATTCCTTGACGTACTCCGATATCTCACGACTCCACTTATACGAGGCATCTCCAAACGCTCGTGTAGGTTCTAGGCCTCCTAGTACTCGACCGTTGCGTATTACATGTTCTTCGCCAGGGTGAGAGCTTCGGATACGTGCCTCTTCATCAGGGTTATTACCAGTCTGGTCAACTGTCAGGGGCGATGCAGTCCATTTTCCATCTTGATCCCGACGGCCGAGGATAGCGCGAGAGTCACCCGTACAAGCTACATGAAGTAATTTAGATATACTGTCATAGAATGATAGGAGTGCGCAAGATCCAGATAGAGCTGGTGTCAGATACTTAGCAGCAGCGAGTTTTGTATTGGCTTTGAAAGTCTTTTCAACACTCTCATTAACAATTTCATTATCAAGACGTAGAAATCCTGTCTTCATCGCCGCGCTGATTGCTTCGTTTGATGGAAGTCCTGTAGATGATTCTATCGTTGCATTCTTGTATGCAGAGTTTAATTCGCGAGCAACATAATTTATCAGAACTTGTCGCAATTTCGCAGATGTCGTCCAACCACTGTCTTATGTTAGAAATATCAGAATTATTAACATTGAACTTACGAATGACCATCGTAAACGCCCCAGAACATCCAATCACCTGAAGTTACGGTTTGATTTAAAGTATCCGTCCCAGTATAAGGCATCTCAATTATCTTCTCGGAATGATCGTCTTCAATTGGATCATTACTTGGAATTTGCACAACATCGTATCTCATAACGCCTCTACCCCTTCCGATCAGATAGCTTTCTTCATTTCTTCGAAGTTTTTGAGTTGCTTGTAATGGAGTCAACTTTTCCAAGACCCTCTTCCCAGATTCATCAATTCGCTTTGAGATTGGTTCTTCATTGTAAAGAGCGTCTGTAGACAATGATTCAGTTCCAACTGTTACTTTTATTCCTTCGGGATAAGTTGAAGGATGTTTCATCGAACCCATGGGCGTATTGGTCTTTGCAGCCAATACATCATTGTTCAAATTGTTTTCGGATTGACTTTGATGAGAATACCAAGCCCGACATCCAGCTACCCCAAATAACAAAGCAAAAAGAGAGTATTTACGCATGTGGACTGGAATTGCATTAGCAGCTGAGTGAATGTTGAAGTGGCGAATGCCGATGGTGTGTATTGTAGGATTTCTATAAGAACTACGACAAAGAGCCCTGTATGGAATGCCGATACGAGCCGTTTGGATTGCGTAAGGAATTGCTCGAGTCATTGGATAGTGCGTTCGTTGTGAAACCAGAATTGAGGTCAGCAACGGATATAGATGGCGCTTGGACTAAATCTCGCCTTCCATGTCGAATTTATCTGGAGTTGCAAGCTAATATGCTCAGTTAGATAAAGGCTGGTGAGGACGCAAAAACGTACCACCAACCTAGGCCTATCTTGAATGTCCTTAATTCCTACACGTCCACAAAGTACGGGACATGGATCATACCTACGTAGTTGAGTCCACTTTACAGAGAAAATAAGACTGCCCCAAGTGCATAAATCAATGCAATTGCTGTAAGCGGTAAACTGGGTCTCAGAGGGACTATTAGACGCACAGATGACAGGGCCGTCGTGTCGTCATTTGGACGATTCCCGAGTTAGGGCGGTCTCATTAAACCATCCCGGCCACATTTTAGGCCGGTTGACAATTATTATTAGCAGAATTGCAATATGTCCAGTAGACAGCTGCGAAAACTTCAACAAAAAAGAGACATCGAAACAGCTAAATCGAGAAGAAAGACTGAGGAAGAGAGCGGCGATGAGCTCGAATATGAGCCTTTTGACCTCCACAAGCCCGCTAAAAGCCTTTTTGCAAACTTCAATGATCTGGGAGTTGAAGACGTAAATGATGATACGGAAGAACATGAAAATTTGCCAGCAGAGCAGCAACAGGTAGATACCAAATCCACACCTAGTTGTAAAAGGCCAAGAAAAGTTAAGAAAAGGAGTAAAAAAGCTGCGAAATCTGATGCCAACGTAGTTGACCGAGTCAATGCAAATGACATCGAAAGAGTTTTGAAAGAGCTCAATATTAAGACATCGGTCGATAATTGTACCCAGGCTCTCGAGACCTCTCTTGTTCAAGATATAAATGAAAAAAAATGCGCGATCTTTGGAATTCAGAGCAAGCACCTCAAGGTTGCAAATGAAACGCGAAAGCTCTTCGGAAAGGCTGCTAGTGTGAGTAAAGATGACGCCAGTGGTACTGTTAGGCAAGTCAGACGGCGAAGACAACGAGGGCAGGATCATCCAATCGATTTAGAAACAATTTTGAGAGGATATCATGCTCCTGGAAAAGGTTTATCAGAACTTACTCTAAGAAGAAACTTTTTTATCCAAGGGAAGAAGGAATGGCCAGCAGGAACTTCAGGTAGGTTGACTATGGAGATAGTCGATGACCAGGCATCTGATGGCACCATTGAGTTTCGATATGTGCATAGCCAGTCGTATCAAGAGGTTCAAAATACCTTCCATCACTACACTGAAATTGGAGACCCGCAAAATCTGATCGAGCTTTTAGTAAGAGAGCGTAAGTTTTTGCATGCTTTAATGGCCGTTACAACACTAATCTATTCTACACAGCTGATCATATTTCCCTCCTTATGCAAGTCAGCAAAATTGCACAAAGCCAAGGAGATCATGCACTTGCTTCCGACCTTTTGGAACGTGCTCTCTTTTATATGGGTAGAGCAACCACTACCTATTTCCACACAAAACTTTCACAGGGCAAGGCACGCTTAGATTTTAAGCGGCCTGAAAACAGAGAGTTATGGCTTGCGGGGTATCAATATATAAAATCACTAATGATGAAGGGTACCTACAAGACCGCCCTAGAATGGAGTAAGCTTATATTCAACCTGGATCCAGTAGGTGATGACTACTGTATGAGGCTTTTAATACACAATCTTGCCCTAAGGGCTCATGAATCTAATTGGCTCCTTGATTTATATGATTTATTCCAAGATCAATGGTATGCAAACGATGGACCATTAACCACGACCCCATCGCTAGCCCTTGCAGCACTGCAGCTGCGAGACCAAGTTAAAGCTCGAAAACTTCTCACTGAGTCCATGACGGTAATACCATGGCTGTTTGCGCGACTATTCTCCGAATTAAATTTAGACCTGCCCCCTAGCATTTGGGGTAATGAGCCTAACACTGCCGCAGAAATTCTCTTTACTGATCTCTATATCTCACAAACTAGAGATCTATGGGATACACCTGAGGTAACTTCTATCCTCATGGAAATTGGACACTCGATTAAAAGGGACAATCATGACACAGAGAAGCGTTTTAGCCAACCACTAGGATTGGACGTTGCAAGATTCGTCTATTTAGACAACTCACCCGGACTCATGGCACTAGTACCTGGAAATCTCTTACATCGAAGAGATAACTCAGATTCTGATCCGTTACCCCCAGTGGAGAATTTAATTTCTTACGAGCCTCAGCGACTGGCTTTAACAGGTCAGTATCGGAACGTTGATGCAGGGGGTACAGATATTGTTTTTGATCAAATTGCTGCCATGGCTAACATGTTACCTCGCTTTCCTGGTCAACGGAATCGCGAAGAGAACATCAATGGCAATATTTCTAGACAAGAACTTGAGGATTTGCTCGTCGCAAGTTCAGCGGGCGGTAACGAATTTTTGAGCGATAACAACCAGCCTGGGCAGCGATCTGTTCCACTAAGCATTGTTCAAAGGCTTATAGAAGTTTTTTGGAGACCCAGAGAGTTTGATGATGAGGCAGATGGTGCACGCTTGGATCAAGAGAGCTCGGGTTGGGAAACTTCGGAATCGGAGGATGATGATGATGGCGCGAGGAATAATTCTGAGAGAGATGGCCACGCTCCTAATGAAAGTCTTACCAACCAAGAAAACACTCGTGAGAATAAAGAGCCATCATCGGAAGGTTCGCATGAAAATATTTAGTAATTTAGCATCCACACTTAGAGTCCCAGATAGACGATAATTTTAATGACATTATTTCAGCTTGCAGTAATATTGGCCATCAATATCAGCCCAAGATGCGATGTCTTTCGTAACTAATCATCCCTACCCTAGGCCTATCAGAGAATAGTTGTACCTGCAGGTAGCCAGATTTCTTCAAGTCATGGGCAAATGAGAGGATTCTTCAAACACCCTCACTGCAAGAATGATTGGTGATCTACTCTTGTTGAAACCTCCACTATGCTCCACTCGCCTCGAGCAAGTTTCATAGCCTCCATCAGCGCCGGACCGAGACCGAGCGTGGGTCTAATAAATGGTTTTTGTGAACTCTAGCATCATCCTCTCGGTCCTGAGCGGACGGCGCGAAAACCTCATGGTCGTGTATATAATGTGTACGCCTGCTTCCCCAACCCCCACTCTCACCAACCCTATTACCGCAAAGTTTTCTCCATCTTCACTACCGCCTTCCCAGCACAACTTGATCTTCCCCACACCCCGCCTTCCAATCTCACACCATGTCTGAGGCCGAGCATAACTACAAATTTAACGTTGCCATGAGCTGTGGCGGCTGCTCCGGCGCCATCACAAGAGTTCTAGGCAAGCTCGAGGGTAAGTTTTGTCTCGCTAAAACCTCGGTCTCCTCTTTCCCACATAATCTCATGCTGACGTGTGATTCTCACTGCAGGCGTCAAGTCATTCGATGTCTCTCTCGAGAACCAAACTGCCACCGTCGTGGCCGCTGAAACGCTCTCCTACGAAACTGTGCTAAGCACAATCAAGAAGACTGGCAAGAAGGTTATCTCAGGCGAAGCCGATGGCGAGAGTCGGAGTATCGAAATCACCGAATAGCTGGCAGAGGCCAGATAGACACACTCAAGTAATTAGGATGAAGGCTTTAAGAGATGAAGTTAGGGTAGTTTGGTGTAACATGGGATTTGAATGATTTTGGAAATGTCGACGAGGACAATGGCTAGCGTTTACAAGGTCAAACCAAGCAAAGATTACACTAAGCCTTTGACAGGCCCACCGGTCTCGATGCTGAAATTTAAAAAACATAATATGATCGAGAGTCAAGGTTTATTTGCGCTTGCTACCTTTTGCATTTCACTTCTAGTAAAAAGCTGTTCAATTATTTTGCGTGATACAATGATCATGACGAACTCAAAAAACCGTGTGTAAAATTGGATAAGTCCTAGTTTAGGAATCTTTTAGAATCCCATACTCAACATCAATTGTAGAGAAAACGCCGTGTAGAGGTCTTAGACATGTATGATATTTATTACTATTCTGATTCATGTTCATTCAATAATTCCTGCAGTCTAATATAATTCAGAGAAGGCAAAAGGTATTCGGGAGACAATGCTCAGAATCTCGCTACTTTGATGCGACTTAGCCTACCTTAAACGATGCCTCATTCATTGATCAATTGTAATTATATACGAAGACTACGTTAATTATAGCATCTCTGAGAGAGGAAGATATGTTTGTTGTACTACTTGAGTCTATGACTATCTAGCACATTGAGCTCCTCTCTGACCCAGGCCATACCTTGTACAGTGCTCCTTGCCTCTCATGTTTCTTGAAAGATCATTGATATGTTGTCCTTGATGAATAGCCATTCAGCTTAGTGTTTACCCGCGGAATTCAGCCACTTCTTCTACAGAAACTTCTACCCAAAAAAATAAATTGGTAGCAATGGAAACTGCGTGCGCGGGAAAAAGTCTCAAAAAACCTTCGGGCCCAACCAGGCGTGGCATAGACACCGGGATCGCATGAGGTGCGCATGTCCATCCATATCTTCCTTCTTTGAGACATTAGAGGCCAACTTGATCCAATCCACTATCTCCGTATCGGGTGCTGGGTACGTTCCAGAAACTCGTCGGATGGTTTTTCCTATGTAATCAAGGGTTGGTGATGAGAAGAGCTTCGACTCTACCATCTGATCTGATCCTGGTTAGCTTCATGATAATGGTGTTAGAGGGGATGGGCTTAGGGATGAAGACTATACAGACCGCGAAAGCGATTATGAATCCTCAACGAAGTGAGGACCTTGTTACTCAGAGTCAGCTTTGCAGAGTCTACAGTGAGAGCTGGAGGCTCGTAGGGGACACCACTGACAAGTATTGAGAATAGTACCACTAGCATCACTGAAACTTAAGTCAAGAGGAGCCGATAACACAAGATATCTCTTCATTTGTTTTAATTCCTCCAAGTGATAGACAACAAAGCTCCACTTCTCCCGTTCCAAAACTTGAAGCCACAGCAGCTGCGCTCCCTCATGCAATTGCCCCAGCTTATTTCCTAATCCTCAAGCTTCAAGCTGATGACTAAAACGAATTTTTTATCGAAAGGGGTAGTTACTGTGGATAAAGCCTCCGAGAACAATTATTTCCCTAATCGGATTTCCGCAATCCATTCCAGAAGCATGAGGAGGGCTCATTAAACGCTTATGCTGTTCTGAAGGTAAAATCGGTATGCTGCTTCTTTTTATAAATGGCTTTCCTTGCCAAAATTCAAAATTTCACACCCGTCGAGATCATATCCATCCTCTATATCATCTTGTGAACTTGTCCTGATTCCTCTTGCGTCCATCCCAAAGAACTGTCTCCCATGCTTGTGTGATATCTTTTGCTTCCTCGTCGGGTGTATATATCGGTGAGGGCGTGTAATTGGTGACCAGCTGAAGCTAGAGAAAGTCGACAAGAGGTGTGATCATCGGAATGAGGATGTACTAGGCCGTACTTGTAGGATTGATGAGACTTAGGGATGAGTCGGACTCTTTGGGAGTGAAAATTTGACGCAGGGAAGTATTTTGAATTATTACCTTGTGGGCCAATTTATTCGGTTCTGCGAAATTTCACTCAACGTGGCTCTGGGAGAATATTTCAATCCCAGGTTCGTAGAGGATACCGCGTGCAGATGTTCAGTCTTGCCCTCCCACGATCCCCTCGTTGATGCCACTACTGTTAGCTTCTATGTTGCTAGATTGCGGTTAACATGGAGACTTAACAGTCTTTCACTGGAATCTTTGTTTTAGAATGTTAAAATCTACAACTTTTCTTGCATCAGTCTCCGCTTCTCTTTATGATGTGTATTGATCGAATTTCTTAGTACCTTTGCTCTGCATAGAGCAGGCCGATTATGCGTCTCTTATGTGTTCTATCGTCTTGGGAATGAGACAATTTGGTTGCAAGTCTTGTGCGCCGTAACTAGCCTTGCGAACCATTCTCTTCACTAATGGTGTAGCTACTACCAATAAGTTTATCCTTCTTTTTTTTTTGCATCAGATTTTAATTGCGTATGCAGCTATCTAGCTATGACACAATATCAGAGAAAAGTACAGAAAGGATGACTCAGTTTATAAAAGGAGCACTCATGCCTCGGATTTCATTTGCAAGTACCACTGCGAAGTTATGGTGGCTTTTTCTTCACCCCAAGTCAACCCTCATCCGTGAATACCCACCCACGAGAACGTCTCAAAAACCCTGAGTTATCCAGACATGCCTCCATCATCTTTCAACTTTCAATTTTTCTCCGCGCGAAATATGGTCTTTGGTGTCTCCTTCCCAGGTGGAGTAGGTGCCCAGGCTACTTAAACTATACCAGAGAACACCACCAGGAGGCGGATAACAACACCTGCCATCGTCGGCTTGTTTTTATAGTGTGAGCTGCACTCTGGAAAGCGAAGTCTTGGCGCGCACAAAGCCCAATTCGAAAAACTCCTTGCCAAAATTCGGAATCTCATGCCCTTCGAGGTTATATCCGTCCTTCGCATCATCTTATCAACTTGTCCAGATCCCTCTCACATCCATCCCAAAGAACTGTCTCCCAGATTTGTGCGCCACGCCTTGCATCCTCCGGCGGGTATAAATATCGGCGTGGGCGTGTATTTGGTGACCAGCTGAGGCCAGAGAAGGTCGAAGAGTGGTGTGGTCATTGGAATGAGGATGTACTTGGTCGTACTTGTAGACTCTATGAGACGAAGATAGGGGTCAAACTCGTTGGGAGCAAAATAACGAAGTGGATGAGTAATTTGGATTTTTGCCTCGTGGGCCAACTTCTTTGATATTGCGAAATTTGACTGAACTTGGCTCTGGGAGAATATTTCACTCCCAGGTTCGTAGAGGACACCGCGTACAGGTGTTCAGTCTTGCCCTCCAAGTTTATCCTTCGAAGTGGCGATTCCCGTAGAGTTTGTGGAACAGAATTCTTGAGGAGTATTTACACGATACTACTACACAACCTTCTCCAGATTGAGGTGAAGAAAAAGCCGTCATAACTTTATAGTAGTTATTGTAAATGAAAGTCAAGGTATGAGTGCTCTCCTTTTGCATTGATTCATCTATTATGTGCTTTATTTATATTATTTCAAAACTTCCTAACAGCAATCACTATCAAAATCTGATGCAAAAAACGACCCCCTCCTCTAATACTTTAATCGAATGGAGATACACTTGTTCATGTAATAGTCTCGACACTTCCGTGAGGATAAATTACTTTGAGTGCCTAGCTAATGTGCGCATCACTCCCATTGGATATGGTTCCTGTTGTATCTTTTCGCGGTTCATCAAGACCGCCGATATTGCTCAATTTACTTCACGAGAAGTATTATGGCACGATAAGCTACAAGTGGAAAGTGATAAATTTGATAAATTACATGTACTCTGATCACTTTTATAACTTGATAAGAGACACTGGATGGCAAATGTAAGGCATTTATTTATCAGTATTGAATTGATATCCCTTAATGATGATATGAGTTGGGTCTCACAGAAGCCCCCAACCACCAAACTATCGTCCACTAATCTACTTTACTCTAAATTTGTCTCCTGGTTCCGTATAATTGAGTGCTTTGTCAAAAACTTGAAACATCGAAGTGTAACGGGTCCTTCACTTGGCAAATCGTCACACGATTCGCCGCTTACATTACTCCATGAATACCGACCGACGCTTTCATCGTCTAGACAGCGCACGGCTCGGAGTTAAGTGAGTCGTCTAACCCGATACTAAAGGTTCAACATTCTATTCACCAGGATATGATCTGTTCCTCTGAGATAATTACTTTTCTAAAGCGGGTGCAACACTGAAAACTTTTCACGAGAACTGGTCTTAGCTTACATAGTCTTATTAAACCCTTGCGTTATCTCTCCTCGCGCTGATCGTTTAGGAACGTGGTTTACTGCAGTTAGCTTCATTTGTAATATAAGGCTCACTATACTTCATGATCTAAAAATATCTAAGGTTAAGAGGCATTCTAGTATTTTATTCACCGTGAATAAGCTCGAACTAAATTCACAAGATTGAAGTCGATTTAGACAAGTAGGCGTGTTAAAGATTTTCATAGAAAAAAACGCATTTGAATGATTCACTGCCATCTTTCCGAGATTTGTAATTAGCTAAAACGAGGCGAATTCCAAAATTCCCACATCAATCTTAAATTCTTTCAAAAGTCACTTATGTTGGATATTTGAGCATGAGCGTAGCGCTTTTTGTGAATATTCAATATCCTTCCTGTTCGACAACATACGGTGAAATTGTCAATAGTTTCATGATGGTTTTTGCACATAAAATTGGTAAACAATCCAGATAAATGAGGTTCACTTTCCGATTCCGTACTTTGATAGTCTTGATTCAATGTTAAAACATATTTTTCGTTTGATTCGAGCTCTGTATACCAAGGAGGGAATTTTATTCGAGCCTATTTGTGTGCTCTTAGTTTTATTCAAATATCCAGGGAAATGAATATGATCATGATTTTCTCATAGAATCAATATTATACCTTTCAAATTTTCCTTTGTAAAGCGAAGCTGCCGGTTTCTTTATTTTAAGGTACCCAAAGTGAGCTGCTTACACAATAGCTTCATACCCGCTATTTGAATAGGCATCTCTGTTGGAAAAGAGCCAGTAGATGATTAGTCCAAATATTGGAAACAGAAATACAACTAGACACCACAAAAGCTTGTGAGAAAGAGGACGGCTAGATTTCAAGACTTCCACTGTTATCTGTCAGTGATACTGTAGGATTATTTTGAGTAAACTCCCTTACTAAATACGATAATATCAAGCACTAATATGACAAAGCCAACGGCACCACCTCCTGTTCCATACTTGAAGGCATTTCCGTGGCCTGTGGCTGAGACTTCATCTACTGAAGATGCTAAGGCATAGGCGAATAATTGGAAAAGTGCAAGGAGAAACATCTTGTGCAAGCTGGTGATTGTAATTGAAAGTCTTTTTTAAGTGGCAATCACAGGTTTTTATTTCAGAATAAAGTTAGAATATCTCAATGAAGACTGGAGTGGGAATTGATGAGGACGATCTAGGAAAGAAATAGTATTGCGTCATGACACGCATATTCAACCCAACAAGGCAGGTCGTGGTTTAGCTTGCTTACAGACAGGGATTAAGACTGAGTCATCTTAGCCTTGTTCAAACAAAGCGCATAATCATCCGCTCCGGGCCAAATCTTAGATGTGCAGGCGAGGCGCAAGGCATTTGTTCGTTTGGGTTTTGTTTATTGTGCTACTTCAACCTATAATTGTCTAGCATATTGGGCGTCTCTCTGAACCAGGCCACACCTTGTACAGTGCTCCTATACTTTTTTGTCACTTCAAAGATCTTTGAAATATTGCCCGTGGAATTCAGTCACCTTTTCCATAGAACCTTCTACCTAAAAAGGAAATTTTCAAATTGTAGCAATGGAAACTGCGTTCGCGGGTAAAAGCCTCAAAAAACCTCAAAAAACCTGCAGTCCCACCCGGGCGAGGCGTAGACACCGGGACCACATGAAGTCTGCATATCCATCTATCTCTTCTTTCTTTGTAACATTCGAGGCCAATTTGATCAAATCCACCATCGCCCTATCTAACGCGGGGTACACTCCTGAAAGTCATCGGATGGCTTCTCCTCCATGATCAGGGGTTGGCGATGAGTAGGGCTCCGACCCTACCATCTAACAAGATCGTGGTTAGCTTCATGACAATAGTGCTAGTGATTTGTTCTGAGAGAAAAAGACGATACAGACCTCGAAATTGATTGGGAGTTCTCTTCGAGAAGATAAGGAAGGTGTTGCTGATCTCGGGCTACAGACTCTATGCTTAGAGCTGGAGTTTCGCAGTAGACATTGGGAAGTGTCTAAAGCTTATCAGGTGAATGGATTACATTTAGGTAAAATGTGTGCAATAACTGAGTACTTTTGAATTTGATTTCATTAATCTGATTTGGCACTTTATGGGCCCATGCAGGTGGCTATAAACCTATCTGTATATTTACATAGCAGGAAACCTCCCCAGCTTTCTGATTTCTTTCTTGAATTTGCATCTTATCCTCCAGGAAGCACAATTACACTGTAGTGCCGGAGGACTATTCACAACACCTGTTAGTGGCGCCCCATACGAACCTCCAACTCTTATTGTAAAGTCTGCAGAGCCGAGATTGAGTAACAACGTCCTTGCTTCGACGAGGATTCCCAATCGCTTTTGCGGTCTGTATCGTCTTCATTTCTCAACACATTTCCCTATAACCATTGTCATGAAGCTAACCACGATCAGATCAGATGGTAGGGTCGGAGCCCTACTCATCGCCAACCCCTGATCATGGAGGAGAAGCCATCCGATGACTTTCAGGAGTGTACCCCACATTAGATAGCGCAATGGTGGATTGAATCAATTCGGCCTCGAATGTCACAAAGAAAGAAGAGATAGATGGATATGCAGACTTCATGTGGTCCCGGTGTCTAGTCCTCGCCCGGCTGGGGCTGCAGATTTTTTGAGACTTTTTCCCGCGCACGCATTTTCCATTGCTACCATTTGAAATTTTCCTTTTTAGGTAGAAGGTTCCATGGAAAAGGTGGCTGAATTCTACGGATAAATCTCAAGGGTCAAAATAAAAGTCTAAATCAAACAAAGGGAGGAGATAAGTGCTATATCTCGCTAACCTTAATCTCTACCAAGATCAGAGCCAGGTTTAGGGTAAAGAATTATTTCGGCTAGGCTGTGAGTACTTAAAAAGTAATTTAGTCGCAATGAGCCCTCATGAACTGCTCCTACTGCGCGACTAACTTAAGGCCAATCTGCCCAAGAAGGTACATTGAAATTTCGTCTGCTCCAGAAGCTTCGTTCGGGCATACCGTTGTAACCCTTTTGGCTTCTTGGTCCGTAATACTTTATACTGGTGATAGAATCCCGCGTCTTGGTGTCACGGAATGAGGTCGTGACCCAATCGGTCGAACGAAATATACGAAGTTTATTCTGATCTCCTAAAATAGGGATAACACACGAATGACTACAATGTGGAACAAGAGTATCTGCAAGAGAAAGTTATTTTACAGGGGTGTGAATTAGCGTGCCCTGAGTCCTGAAACACTTGGCTTGAGTTGCCCCAAGTAGAAATTGATTTGGCTCGTTAAGCAATTGAGGTGTAGTCCACACAGCAAATTGCTCACTTGCCGGAGCCCGATACTTAACTGTTGGCAGTTATTAGCGGCGATGCCAAAGTTCCAGTCGCAGCTTAACCTAGCGTGGCATCCGGAATGTTGGATGCTTTGGTTGGTGTTTCAGCCAAATGGCGTATCCGTTCTGACGGTGGCGCCTCGTCTTGGGTCGAGATGGTGTGTGTAGGTTTACTGTGCTACTTGAGTCTATGACTATCTAACACTTTGAGCTCCTCTCTAGGCCAGGCCACGGGTCTTGATAGTGATGCCCTTGGTCGAGGGGCAAACATGGTTAATGCAGCCTCATCGACCGTACATTTGCAATATGCAGCAGTTACAAAGGGTTAGACTTCTTATTGAACTTTTGATGATGGTTTTAACAATTCGAATGTGCTAGTGCTTCGGTAGGTGGTGAAATGACGACGGAGAGAGTCGCGAGGTTAGTTTAGCTAAGAGTAATCTTCTGGAGAAAAATATGTGAAGGGGTCTCAGTCATTGACATCGCAAGAGTCAGACATATTTACTTGAAATACAAACCGCAGATAGTGTCGAAGATGATACAGGTCGATTGTATGAGCAGTCGTAAAGTGTCTAGGGGTCGGGGTTTCCACCAAGAACTTTCTGATCGCCATCTCAACTAAACCTGCCACACTCACCCACATTCATCACTTAATCCAGGCTACATGGACATATTTAACTCATAGAGCCTTTTTTATCATTAAAAGTATATTCAGTTACCCAGTTTGACAAATTACCAGTGCTATGTGTAAATATTGTGTAATTCTTTGATGTAGGAGGCACTCATACTCTGGATTTCATTCGCAAATACCACTATGAGGTATGCTTGCTTTCACAAATAGTCGACCCTCCTCCGTAAGTAGCCATCAAATGAATCTTTCAAAATATTTGATTATTCAAGCATACCAACACTGCGGGAAATGTAGTTGTGTTTTGCTAGATTCGAACTAGAGATCTCCCGTCTCAAGCGGGATGTGTGTCCAAACTGTCCAGAATCTGCTTGTGAGTCCGGCCCAAATGATGTACCGCTAGACCACCCAACCATAGCTGTGTTTATAGTGTCGCCCGAACTCTTGCAAGTGAAGTCTTGATAGGCACAAGGTTCAATTAGTAAAACTCATTTCCAAAAATCGAAACATATCCCTTTCAAGAATGTATACAAAGTAAGTATCATCCTGTACACCTGTCTGGATCTCTCTCACGTCCATTCCAAAGCACCTCATCCAATATTTATGCAACTTAATTTTTCTCTTCCGACGGGTGTTCAAATTATTGTAGGCATGCATGTAGAGTCCAAAAGAGGCCAGAGACTGATTTGACGATAAGTATCGTTATTGAAAAGAGAGTATACTTGGTCTTTCTGCTAGCTCAATGGGGCTTTGTTAGGATTACAACTTATTGCGAGAGAGAGAGATTGATTAGGCTGATTGTCTTGGATCATTGTCTTGTGGGACAGTTTCATTGGTATTACGAAGTTTGACTGGACTTAACTCCGGAAGAATACTTCACTCCTAGATTCATAAAGGACTGCACTGATCATTATTTAGCCTTCATCCTCCTAAATTAGTCATGCATGGACCTCGAAGTACCGAAGTTGCTTCTTTTCAATCACTTCAAGTTGTGCAGGCGCTCGACACTTGTCTATAACTGCCAAGTGCCAGTTAGCTCAGGAGTTCCATTATTGTGAGAAGGTTGCCGATTATTGGCAAGTATGATCACACTGTAGTTCCCCACACACTATGGGTGTAAATGGAAAAAATAAAAAAGCTACACATGCTATAAGAAATATTGAATTAATTAATAAACCCATTTCCTTTGTATATACAGCTGAACATACAGAATATTGAGTTCATTTACTTTGTTCATTTATTAACTTATTATGGAATGGATGAGCTTAGAACATTTGATTTGAGTTAGTCATATATTAACACAAATAAACTGACCTTATCGAATTGATGATCTAACCTGTTTCAGGGTAGGGTTACGTGTTAAATATAAATTTCAAAAAATACGACCTGATCAGTAAACAATGATATAGGCTCCATTTCATCTGTGAAACCCACAATGGATCTCGCATTAGTATGCAGGGTATTTTTTGGCGCTGGAGCTGCTGTTAGCTTAGGGGGAGCATTGAATCCATCATTTCGTTCCCGGATCATGACCTACGGCTCTCGCAGTACAAAAATAACATCATCTCCAAAGAAGCGGAAACGATTGTCGCCTTACGGACTTTTTCATGAAATTTCTATTCTTCAAGTTCCTCACACTTGGTTTATTCATTACTACATAGCCTCTGTGGGGTCCTCGATTTTCTGGCTACATCAAATGATAACGCGTGGGGTTATACTTAGATTGATTACACCAATTTCTTCTTCACAGGATGTCTTGGAAAATCGAACCCAGATTCTTCTCGCATGGCTTCTTATGTTCATTCAAGGTACTAGACGGCTCTATGAGTCGGTCATATTTACCAAACCAACTAAATCGACAATGTGGTTTGGGCTCTGGATCATAGGAATCATTTTCTACTTTTTTATAGGGATAGCTGTCTGGATTGAAGGTTTTAGTACGTATCTACATTACATTATATCCTATGAATTAACCACGACTATGTAGCTCAGCTTGACTGCACTTCTTGGCGTAATTATTGTTCAGCATTTTCGGCCACATCACTGAAATCCATAACGGCAATTTTGATGTTCATTTTAGCATCCACTGTTCAGCATATTTGTCATAGACATCTAGCGGGCTTGAAAAAGTATTCTCTACCCAATCATTGGCTCTTTGACTGGATAGTTTGCCCGCACTACGCAAGCGAATGCTTCATTTATCTAGCCATAACATTCATCTCTGCGCCGAGTGGATTATTATTCAATCGTACTGTCTCTATGGGGTTAATTTTTGTTGTATCGAACTTAGCGGTGACAGCTGATTCAACTAAGAATTGGTATGCGGAAAATTTTGGCAAAGATAGCGTGCAAAGGAAATGGCGAATGGTTCCATTTCTTTATTGAACAATATACCCTTTTCTTATTACGGCAAGAGCCGAACAAGTTTTTGGCTTTGAACATAGGATTTCTCTGAGTAAATATATCCATGCGTGTTTTTCATGATGCTTAAAGATTTTTTTATTGATTCTTGTTTAACGCCCTATTCGGTATCTAATTTACAGAATCACCATAACGGTAAGCCATTTTATTAAGGGAAAAAGCTTATATACATTCATATCCCGATCTCTTACCACTTTGAAATGGCTCAGCTTGAGGTCGAGGACGATTTTTTAATTAAAAATTGAAAAACTTTTCGCAAACTCGATTGACTCCCTCTTCGGTCAGACTAAACTTCGGAACAATTCAAAAGAGAAGGCATCTTCTCATCTAGCCCAGGTCTTGTGAGCATTGGAAGAATTGGTCTTTCTGTTCACACTTCTATCAACGTAATTTCTCGTGCCGCTGGGCTCATAACCTCCTTTCGCGGAGTTCGTGGATCTCTTCACGGCCCATCATTCTTCTATATGTTAACCAAGGTGAATCTCTGATCATCGGTCGTTCGGACTGTTCGCGTTGAATCCGTGACTAGTTCTTCCATCCATGTGCGCACCTTTCGAGTTGGAAGCTCCATCCTAGCTTTCTGTGCATTTCCCTTGCAAATCTGGTAGGCCTGACCAACTGATTTTGGCCAAGAGTGGTGCTCCTTGCTGCAGTTTGTGCAAGAAATATTTTTCCGTGGACAGTCAAGGGTTTGGTGGGTACTAGCGCACCTACCGAAATGGGCCATCTATCCGTACGACGCCTGTGTCTGTGCTAACTGGTTGTATGGAAGCACTATTTCGCCTACACCCGAGACAATCACGACTGTGCAGTGAAGCGCAAGGCACTAATCATAAGCATGTATCGTGATACTTCTGTTTGCACTGCTACTAAAGGGAGACTGACAACGATTTATCCTCCATTGCGGCCAATTTTTTTTAATCGCTGTCTTTCCCTTATCTTATGTAACTATCGTTTTTTATTATTCACTAGGCTAATGATCTGGACCCCAGTTCTTACCACGACCTCTTTAATAATGGCGAAGCGGGGGACTGTTCTCAACATCTGTCAGTAGCGCCCCTTACGAACCTCCAGCTCTCACTGTAGGGTCTGCAAAGCCGATATTGTGTCGCGAAGTCCTCCCTTCAATGGACACTAGCCTTCGCTTTCGCGGTCTGTATCGTCTTCATCCCTAAGCTCATCTCCCTATCACCATTATCATAAAGCTAACCACGATCCGATCCGATCAGATGATGATTGGAGCCCTACTCATTACCTACCCTTGATCACATAGGAAAAGCCATCCGACGAGTTTCCGAAACGTACCCAGCATCCGATACGGAGATAGTGGATTAAATCAAGTTAGACTCCAATGTTACAAAGGTGGGAGATATAGATAGATAAGCGCACCTCTTGTGGTCCCAATATCATGGCCTCGCCTGACTGGGCCCGAGGATTTTTGAGACTTTTGCCCACGCACGCAGTTTCCATTTCTACCATTATTTTTCGGTAGAAGGTTCCGTGCAAAATGTGGCTGAATTCCACGGGTGAACACAGAACTGAATGGCTATAAATCACGGGAAATGTATCTATGATCTTACCAGTAAAAATAGAGAATAGGAGCACTGTACAAGGTGTGGCCTGGGTCAGAGGGGAGCCCAATGTGCTAGATAGTCTAAGATTCAAGTAGTACAATAAGTACACCCCTCTCTCAAACCGAATATTATCATCTTCTATTTAAATAAGGGTAAAATACATAACACCTGTCTCAGTACAACAAGAAATAGCTTGAATTTTCTTGCAATGTTTACTGATTTCTCAAACTAATAAATATCGGAGCTTCACTAATATCTATCATTACCAATTATATTTGCACTTCATCACATAGTATACTAAGACAGCTCGGCGCAGCATTATTGGTATTCATTGCACAAAAAGCTAATACTTCTATTTAGCTATTCTCAAATATACAATCGAATCAATGAAAAGTCATAACCCTCTATTCCTTATCCTCGGCCGCAGTTTCAGCATCAATCACGTCATTGTCTGCCTCCTTGGTGGCCGATCCCATTTTTTCGAGCTCTGCGATCGCTGCGGCTGCTGCCGCGTCATCCTCGGCACTTTTCTTGGTCAAAGGTGCTACGACGGCATCTTCTTTTTCGGCTTGTTCATCCTTGGTTGCAGATCCGATCTTCTCAAGCTCTGCGATGGCTGCTGCTGCTGCTGCGTCATCTTCGGCGTTTCTCTTGGCCAGAGCTCGGGCAAAGTGACGCTTGGACAAGTTGTACTCAATAGCACGCTTCTTGGCAGCCGGGCTTTGCGTCACTGCTACCGATCCTCCAAATGGGCCTGCTGCTGCTGCATTTTGCATGCGAACAATGCATACGTTCTGAGCGTCGCCTACTGTTCCAGAGCATGTCATTCCCGCTGGCATCTGTACTTCTACCGGAAAGTCCATCACGGCCGCGGCTGACAGTCCTCCAATACCGATTCCCGGCACATTTTGTGTTACTTCGGCCGATTTGAATGCCGCTGGGTCAGTTCCACCCGAAGTGGCGTCAACCATGGCCGTTAATGGCCCGGCTCCGTCTTGGTTGATTTGGTGGTAGGTCATCTTGACCTTGCCGTCGTCCGAGCAAGTCGGCATGCCGCTGGATGCTCCAGCTCCAGCTGCAGCCTTGACACCAGTCTCCAAGGTGCCCTTAGGAGTCTTGGTTCCTCCGTTGGCTGCACGCTCTCCAAGACTTCGACGAAGGACGTTGGCTGCGTGAACTTCCCGTGCTTCCTTTGTCGCCGTAGCATTGCCGCCGCCTCCCATGAACATGGCCATCATCTTGCTGGCGTCGACGGGACCACCGCCCTGAGTGCGACCAAGTGCAGTGGCCTTGTTGGTGCCCATCTCACGTTTACGGATGATAGAAGTATCAGCCTCAGATCCGCAGCGAGGACTGGCGCAATCACGCGGCGTGCCGTCGGCAACTGTAGTATTCGTGTCAGAAGCGACTCAAAGTGGGTGTACGACAGGGACAAAGACATAAACATGGATATGGATAGGGGCTTGGGCAGGGACAGTGACAGTGACAAGGTCAAGGTCAAGGTCAATGTCAACAACGATGACAGGGATAGGGATCGTGGCGAGTCACATACCTGAGAGACCCGGCATAGTAACGTCGTTAGCGCCAACGACTGAATCAACCACTCCGTGGGTAAAGACACTAGTAACTGCGAAAGCAGCAATGAGAATAGCTGATGAGTACTGCATATTGATAGAGGTAATTTATGTCGAAATAAACGGGATAAGATGGTTCAATTTTTATTTGACTCCTTGGATTTGTTGATATCTGGGATATACTTGAAAGACTTGATAGATTCGGTTTATTTGTTGATGTTGTTTTGATGTTGTTTTGGTCTTGTGTTGATCTGTGATTATTAAGTAATTTGGTTTGATATTAACAGCACCGGGCCGGGAAGTAAGAAGAATATTTGGGAAATTAAAAACGAAACCGAAAACTAAATAGAACTGAAATGTCAATGTAGATGATGATAATGAGTCTATAATTTCCGTTCCTCCATCGTTCTTATATAACAAAAAATTGAATATGATTGCCAGAAATGAGAGGCTGCTATGCGTAGCTCTTTCCATCATTTGGGCATCCACTTTTGAGTAGTCATGTTCACATAAAACATCTTACGAATCACTGTAGACAGTCGTTTTGCGATGACGAATGGATTGCTGTAAAATGGTTTGTAGCATGAAATCCGTAGATGGAAGAGTCATGAGTAGACATAAACGAAGCGGAAGTTCAAACAAGTCCCGAAAGAGATGCAAGGGGTATAAGATGAAGCAAGTCATATGACGTCCATAAGTTTGCAATATCTGAAGTGAGGGTAGACGTGATACAAATGTACGGAACATGTAATGAATATATTATGAACATATTATGAACATATTATGAAAGCGAAACTTTCGCTTCCGAGTATGTGTGTGTGTTTATTGTACTACTTGAGTCATAGACTATGTAGCACACTGGGCTCCTCATTTTTGAGTATCTAGTATCGGGTATCGAGGAGTTTTTTCACAAATCAGTCTACGAGACTTCAACTCCATGTTTGACGCTCAGATTCCCCCTCTCTCCCCTCCCCCCAGCAGAAATGGAGTTAGCAACCGATATTCTCTTGGTACGTAAATAATTGGTAGGTGTCAATGAGATACCGCAAAAGTCATGTTCCAGGCGTAACTCTCCTTTTTCATAGATTTGATATGCAAAGCTCTCATGAATTAAGCTACTTGTCTCATCTGAAATTCAATCGATCCCAGCATCGATGGTACGATCGCTTGAAGGATCAACACTGAGCAGCGGTTTATCTCTCACGAGAAAGAACGGATCCATCTAGAAACGATGTTCCAAATGTTGGATTGAGACTGCAACCCCTGAAGATGATTCATGGTTACCTTGATTACTGTAAAGTCTGATTCGAGTCAAAAAGACTGTATGCGGATGAATCTAGATTTCCTGAGGAAAGAATTAGTGCATAGTAGCAATGTCCCATACAAAGCTGTAGTCCTCACTTAAGATCTGCAGAGTTATTATCAAGTTATGATCAAGTTGGATTGAGCATCAATCCTCATCTCAAATATTTCTCTCCACGCAACTATGCGGAAACCATCACTCTTGACCATTAAGTTATGTATAATCAATTATTCAAACAGTTTAAATCGTCGATACCCTTCAGCATATTCCTGTGAATGCTATGCGCACATGTTATGTAATTTAGAATCACGTAGGCTGTTCCACTGTATTTGTGAGCTATGCACATTAATGAGGTTACTAGCCGAGAAGTGAAGGAGATATTTTATTGCACTATCAGGGTCTTAAATTTTTTAGCACATTGGGCTCCTCACTGACCCAGGTCACATCATGTAAAGTGCTACTTGCCTCCTTTTTCACCGATAAGATCATTTTTAATTTTTAAATTCATTTTATTGTCCTGTCTGAGTCTATGACTATGTAGGACATGCAGGTCCTCTCTGCCTACAGGCCAAGGATACCTATGCCAGTAGTATATCCCCTCCTATGCCTCCCATACAGCTCCCCTCAAACAGTACCACCCCTCACTAGTCTTCATTCGATCATACACTAAGAGGAGCCCTTAGCCCTTCATTATCTCCCCTCTCCAGCCAACGAAACGATGGCCATTTGCGGGTGTATGGCAGCTGGGAAAAATTGGAGAAAACCACTGGGTACGGAGCTCTCCTAATACCGACTAAATCCGAAGACATAGTGATCCTTCCGAAGCGTTCAAAGAGGCCGGCCAGCTGGGCGCTGCAGACTTGTGGGTACCTCGGGAAATTTACGCTCTGCCTTTCTAGCCTCCTTCCAACTCCTTCCCGAAGGTCGTGGTGAATTGTCAGAAAAGTCTTGACAGGGCGTGATTGCTGTATGGCAGCTTAACCCAACTTCTTCTTCGCCGTCCAGGGCGCTGGGGAGTGCCGTTGACTCATCAACAAATGAAGCCCTCCTGGCTAATTAGCCGAAATCTTAGTCTTGGCACCAACAAAAAATCCAGAGTTGGAGACTCATTATTATTAGTCCCAGCATGGTCTCCAGAGACCTGTGCCCCTTTTCGCTCCACGTCTCAGGCATCTATGCACCCTCAAGTTGTTTGTCCCATTAAAGCAACAGTCCCCCACAAGCCAAGACCCAGGCTTTGTATTTTCCGACTTGATTTCCTCCTTGCGAATATAAATAGCGTCGTAAATTTGTAGTAAGTGATGGTCGGTAATTGTTGAGGCAAGCTCCTGTTTGCAATTGGGGTGACGCCTTTATCGGTCGTCGAGGCGTGATGATATGTGGTTAGAAAGAGGTTGAGGACTCAGAAAATAATGGTGAGTGCTGCATGATTGAGAAGTCGTCAAATAGAGATATACATGTGTTTGCTTTCGACTTCGATTTGGATGCGATTCTTCTTGGATATCCCAGATATGCAGAGCATACTGAGCGATTACACCGGCAGCACTGGAAGGTGAAGAATTCGACTTTGCCGGCCATTGTTGAGATAGTACCAGCAAATAACGGTCACGGCACCGAAGGTGCAAACCCACGCCTAGCGCTGCAACATGCACATCTACTGCTCGCAACCAAGCTTCGGGCGCGGGAGCACCCAGGTAAAAACTATACATAGAAGCGATCGGGGTGGCGACACCATAAGCCCCTGGAATATAAGCCCTAGCCGCAAGGGGTCTTTTTATTTTTTTTATTTTTTTAATATCATTTAATGTGTATTCAGCTATCTAGCTATGACACATGAACGGTGCTATGTATACACGTTGGATGACTCTTTTGACGTTAGAGACACTCATACTCTGGATTTCATTTGCAAATACCACTATGAGGTATGCTTGCTTACACAAATAGTCGACCTTCCTCCGTTAGTACCCACCAAAGGAAATTTCGAAACCTTTGGTTATCCAAGCATGCCTTCGTCATCCATGCATACCAGCGCCGCGAGAAATGTGGTTGTGTTTTGCCGGATTCGAACCAGCGATCTACTGTCTCAAGTGGGATATGTGTCCAAGCTATCCAGACTCTACTTGGCAGACCGGCCAAGACGATGTACCACCTCACCATCCAACCATGGCGTTGTTTATAGTGTCGCCTGCACTCTCGCAACCGAAGACTTGGCACGCACAAAGCTCAATTTGTAAAAACTCCTTTCCAAAACTCAAAATTCGATGCCCGTCGAGACTGTATCCATCCTTCGCATCATCTTGTGAACTTTTCCTAAATCCTCTCACGTCCATCCCAAAGAACAGTCTCCCAGATTTGTGCGCCACGCTTTGCTTCCTCCGTCGTGTGTAAATATCGGCCTGGGCGTGTATTTGGTGACCGGCTGAGGCCAGAGAAGGTCGGCGAGAGGTGTGGTTATTGGAATGAGGATGTACTAGGTCGTACTTGTAAACTTGATGAGGCTTAGGTAGGATTCGATCTTTTTTGGAATGAAAATTTGACGTGGTGGAGTTATTTGAATCATTGCCTCGTGGGCCAACTTGTTCGGTATTGCGAAATTTGACTGAACTTGGCTCTGGGAGAATATTTCACTCCCAGGTTCGTAGAGAGCACCACTGACAGGTGTTCAGTCTTGCCCTCCGCCACAAGGGGTCGGATACCACTCAGCGTATATGTAACAGCATCGAGTGCACAAGTGTATCTCGAGTGTCCCTTAAGGAAATCAGTACGGTTGCCCCTGGATCAGCTTTTCAGGGGCGCTCAACTAGGGTATTGAGCTGCGATGATAGGGGCAGTGATGCGACTGGCAAGCAGAGGATATACGTGAGCTGCAGGAGCAGTGATGGCCGCTCATGAATCCACGGTTCATGAGCGTTGGATTGGTAGTGTCTTGTCTTGTCTTGTTCATTTGCGTGCTAGGTAAAGTGATTACCGTTGCACTCCTTCTGGAGCTTAAGCACATGTGGGGCCGGGCTGGATCAGGTTAACTACCATTATGTATATCTACCTCGTCCCACCTAACTGATTGGACCACCCAAGATTTCACCCATGTGTTGAATCATGTCAAGCCCAACCGTACAGAGAGCCCCCTTTTGGCGCGCCGAAGCGCAAATTCTTCCTCAGCCTCGGTCACCACGCGCCCGAGCCCTTGACACCTTCGCCGTCTGTAACTTTTCCCTTCAAATTAATTCGCAGTTTTGGCTCATCTCAGCATCTCCTCATCTCGTCCAGGGGTCGTTTTCTTCACTGGAGGCCTCATCTAGTCGCCCACCAAGGCCTACTCAGCTTGTATCCCCTTTTAGTTCCTTCATACAGCATCCCTCTGTCCTTCATCCGATCTCGTCATCCCAGAAACTTTGTAAAATGTCCACCCCTCCGGCCTTGCCCCGTCGCTGCCGTACCCCTAACCGTGGAGGTCGGAAATCCTCTTGCTTCTTAGTTGGCGATTTGGCTTTTGGAGGTATGGGATTGCTTAGGTGGATTGTGAGATGATTGTTGAGAGGGCCGCGAGATGAGTTTGGCTGAGAATGAATTTCCAGAGAAAAAGAAAATAAAATTTTGAAGGTGTCGGTCGTCGTACTTCGAACATCAGACGGGTTACAATCTGTCTGCGGCTCGTATCTGGGGTGTAGATGGTTGATTTCGTTGAGTTGAGCAGTCGTGAAATCTCTGCAAGTCGGATTTTCGACCAAAAATGAGCCAACATCACTTCTCCCGATCGCCAACTCAACGAAAACTCTCCAATTCACCCTTTGTCGTGACTGAATCTCGGCTCTGAGAGAAGGATTGGTAATGTGATTACTATGGATAGTCAATCACGAGATGGAACTAAGACTACGACATGGGTCATACAGATGTATCTAAGATAGCATATGTACATTCTTCTAACAGTATCGAAATCTGTCGAACATATCCTCTACATACTCCAAACAGATATAACAAGTGACAAGTAACTATGTTCCCATATGACCCATAACCTTAGCATCCATGCAGGTGACTATCTACATTATTTACATACGAGGAAACCAATTTGGTGAAAACCCCCTGATCCTGTCTTTTTGTGTTCCTATCAATTTATTTGGTTTACCTTCAGGAAGTGCAGTGTACACTGTTCAGCCCGTGTGGATTCCGTCCTCTCCCCTTCCAGATCTATTTACTTTATCAGACATTGCTACCTCGACTTTTCCTGCCAGTCGAAACTGTTTTATCCACCCTTTGTTTAGTATCCACTGTGTAATTCTAGCCATATCTTATGGGCTGTTCATCAATGCTTCAAATGGCCTGTCTTTAGCTTGTTGGAGAAAATCGCCTCTTCCTTCTGCCCACTGCGGACACGCCAACACCATATTCTTGATGTTTTGCGACGGATATGCATATTAACAGCTTGGGTTTTCTGCTCCGGGAAATTTTCTTCTTTACAGAAAAGAATTGGGTCCGATATGCTCGTAACTTAGCTGAATGGCAACACTGCTTTGGGCCCAGGTTAGGTTACGGTGGATTCTTAAGGGAGTATCTTTGAGGTTCATTTTGGCGCTGCCTCTTTGTTCGTCAGTAAATATATTTGCCGCTTTCCAATGTGTGTTGTTTATTTATTGTTTTACGTCGTTCCAGCGTGCAACACGTTTCCCAAGGCCACATGCCGGTTAGCTAAGTATAGAAAAACTAACCGACATGCGGACGTTCCTAAGATCCCGACATGAACTAACTGGGCCCTGGCCCTCCTGCCAGGTGCCCCAAACTAAAATTTCACCAAAAGTACCCTTCCTCTGAGCCTTCTGTTAACTATACTGCAGACATAATTAAAATTTAAATCTACATGCTAGAGAAGAGAAACAATCTACCACCGTTACAGACAGAGCTACTAGTACGTGTTTGAGTCCCGCTAAATAGTTAGTATGGAGCGAGTGTAAAAGCCAGGAGTGAAAATTGGTCTCTTCAAAAAACTTAGTCTTGTGGACCCACTTGCTGAAGGCGATAGCCCCTTCTGGAGAGCTTAGAACCCAGGGGATTCCAGGGTTGGGATGTCGAGGTCCACCTTGCAGTCGTGATCGGCTGTGCCCTAGTCGACAAAAGAAGAAGTGGTCAGGTGACTTTTCTCGTCCGCAGCTGCAGGTCAAGAGAGCTTCGAGGTGTTGGAAACGGCGGTGGTAGTCTGCAAAGTCCACATGCTCTGACCGTGCAGCAAGAAGCAGGCCCAGTGTTCGCCGGTCGAGATCCTAAGTTCCAGTGAGTCTCTAACATTTTCTCTAATTACAAAATGTTTGTGTCTTTCAGGGGCGTTTTGCGTCCAATATCTGGTTGCCGAATCTTGGTATCTAATTTTGATATCTCTCTTTGCTCTAGAGATTGACGGTGCAAGTGTGCAGGCCTGTTTGGCGAGAACGTCTGCAGCTTCGTTTCCCAAAATAACAACATGTGCAGGGCACAATCTAATGATGACTCAGCCGACTTCTGTGAAGTGGCAACGGTCTATTCTAGTCCATGCTGTCGCAAGCCCTCTAAACTGAGTGATGCTAGGAGAACTAGAGGGGGTGGGGTTGCATACAAGAAGCCGAAGGGCAGCCTCCTGGTTGTCTGGGCACACAAACACCCTATTGGCTTATCGGGCCATGGGGTTACGAAGGGCTGCGGCGAGTCCTTCGGTTGCTCCAGCAATTTCGGCGTCGTAAACCTCGGCAGAATTTCCGAGGGGGAGCAAGCCTCTCTCAACTTCTTGCGAAAGGCTCCGGTATATCACGTACCCAGCTCCGGCTTGGTTGTCGATAAGCGCTCCATCTGAGAAGACAAATAAGTCTAAGGGGGAATGTGATGTGTGCCACTTTTTCAACTCCTGTAGACCTATTCTTTTGCCTACAGCGCCTATAGTTTGTGAGTGTGACTTTTCGTTGGTGTCCCGGGGTGACGGAATGGTGTCGGTGGAAAGTTCGGGAGAGGTTCTCTAGCGGATCCAACACATACGAGGTGAATTCCAGATCGGTTGTCGTGTCGATGTGGTGTGTGGTAAGGTTCAGGTAGAGGGTTCAATTGAGAATGACAAGAGCGACATTGATGAGAAGTCGTTGATGGTAGGTATGCTTGAGGTTGCTTTCGACTTAGATTCTGATGCGATTCTTCTTGGCTAATCTAGATATGCTTTGCATATTTAGCGAATGCGTCGGCACTGCTGAAAGGTGAAGAATTCATCTCTGCAGGCCTAGATAGTCCATCACTGATGAGCATTTGGTTTTTATTGAGTATGTTATCCATGAATTAAGGGGGACTTTTCTCAACACCTGTCAGAGGTGTCCCTTTCAAACCTCCAACTCTCACTGTAGAGTCTGCAGAGCCGAGATTGAGTAACAAAGTCCTCGCTTCGACGAGGATTCCCAATCGCTTTTGCGGTCTATATCGTCTCCATTTCTCAACACATTTCCCTATCACTATTATCATGAAGCTAACCACGATCAGATCAGATGGTAGGGTCGGAGCCCTACTCATTACCTACCCTTGACCATGGAGGAAAAGCCATCCGATGAGTTTCCGGAGAGTACCCAGCATCCGATACGGAGATGGCTGATTGGATCAAGTCGACCTCGACTGTTACAAAGAAGGGAGATGTAGATAAATATGCGCACCTCATGTGGTCCTGGTGTCTAGGCCTCGCCTTGCTGGGGCTGCAGGTTTTTTGAGACTTTTTCCCGCGCACGCAGTTTCCATTGCTACCATTTTTTTTTTTTTTTTTTTGGGTAGAAGGTTCCGTGGAAAAGGTGGCTGAATTCTACGGGTAAATACTGAGCTGGATGGCTATTCATCAAAGGCAATATATCAGTGATCTTATAAGTGAAAAAAGAGGATAGGAGCAATGTATAAGGTGTGGCCTGGGTCAGAGGGGAGTCCAATGTGCTAGATAGTCATAGACTCAAATAGTACAATAAACACACACACACATCCATGGATTAACATTTCCAACAAAACCCACGCATAAGTAAATTGATCTACCCATAGTAATAACTGCCTTGTTGCCGGCAAAGACGAATTCTTCACCTTCCAGTGGTGCCGGCGTAATCGCTTAGTATGCTCTGCATATCTGGGATAGCCAAGAAGAATCGCATCCTTCGCAACGGCAGCTTGCTGAGCGTGGCCCAGTCGATTTCGATTGACACATGGGCTAGGTTCCGTTCCCGGCATGATAGATCAAAAGTTTAAGTTTGGGTCTCTTCTATTCAGTCTTCTAACAACTTCCCGATTGAGTTTGACTGGGAGGACTTTACGACTCACCAACAACCATCCAAAATCAAAGGTAAAATTCCTTTCGCTTTCAACCTTACTAACTTATTAGACTGGGCAATTGCTCGGCCTCATTTTCGACAAGCACCTCGACCGCGACATCAACATTGTCAACCTTTCAACACATTCCAAGGACGGCGCGAACGAAGAAGCCTCACTCATACAATGAACAATGTACGACAAAAGCTGGGGCACCGATGCCTCGGTTTTGAGCTCTCGATTTCGGAATTTCAGCCCTCTCAAATGGAGGTTAAGCGCAATGCAGGGGGGAATTTGGGAAGAATGATATGTGATTTTCAACAGGCTGTTGGCACAGTTGGTCGGGTGCCGGATGTGCTTTCTAGAAGTGGTAGTTTGGATTCCTACACGGCCTATGTAAGGGGGGACTACGGCTGCTCGTCGTAAAAGAGTACAGGAGGAATTATTGAGCTTTTCTCACGAAGGTTCTCCCTCAATACATGGTCTTAGGATCATGGTGAATGGGTTCCTACCTATTCTACCTGATGTAACTAGCGTGAGGCATGTATTTGGAAAAGTCAGGCACCGGATGGGCTTTGCTGGAGAATGGAGGAACTTGTATTCTAGATGTCCTCAATGCGTGTCATGTCCATTGGATGGAGGGTGTAAGCCTGGCACGATAAATGTAATCATCATCATACCTGCTCTGTTGATGATACGGTTCGGTAATCGACATTAACGAGCCCGCAATTTTAACCCCAACACTAAGTGACCTAAAGGCTTCTATAAGGCTGTGTAATTTTTTTCAGCGATGACGAAATCTATGAATGACCTACAAGAAGCCTTGTCATCATTATTAGTTGATAGAAAGAAGTGACAGACTTTCCATCATCAGAACTTCAGTTTTTAGACTGATTTCTGCCATGGAAGACAAAGTATCGGATGGCAGAGACTCAGAATATGCCCATAATTGTTCCAATAAGTTCGCACAATATGAAAGTGATCAATCTAGTAGGCACCGCAGGTCTAGGACTGGAGATCAAGAACGCATCTACACAGAATTTCAGCAAAAATCTGATACTAAACCCTCTAGATTTAGTGCCAGTATGCAAGGGAAACTAATAGAGATGTAATTTACAACATTTACAATTTATCGATCAATACTTGATTCTAACAATTGTCTAGGATATTACAAAAGATAAGCCCTTGGGATGACGCATCCGCTCGGTCAGATTGCAACCTTGAATCGACCACCCGGCCTGGTTTCTCAATCCCATTGATGACAGCCAACTTTAGGCAGTTCAACGCAAGAATATCGGTTGTTTTTGAGTTTCAGAGAAAGATCGCAAAGCTACTATCCTGGGATATCCCAACTCAGACGATGTCATTCCTGGCTTTATATACCTTAACCTGCTTGAATCCAGATCTCATCTGTGTTTTCCCCGTTGCTGCAATACTATTAGCTCTCCTGATACCTTCCTACACCTCTCGTTACTTTGCGCAATTTACAACAGAGAGTACACAAATCCCGGCCCCAACCATAAATCCTGTCAGAGAGATGTCAAAGGATTTTTTTCGCAACATGTGCGATCTTCAGAATAGCATGGGAGATTTCTGTCGAATTCATGATCAATGTGTGAGTCTCACTGTACCATTGACAAATTTCTCGGACGAACTTTTATCTTCAGCATTTTACAACTTCTCTTTTGCTGCTTTGCTCATTATTTTGGTTTTATCACCTCTTCTCCCATGGCAAATCATATTTCTATTATTTGGATGGGTAACAGTAGGTATAGGGCATCCCACTATCCAGCGGAAAATCATTGGTTTACACGAAAATCATTTTGAAAATCTTAAAGCAAAACTTATCGTCTTGGTTGAAAATTGGGTTACTCAGGACATAATCCTTGACTCAAATGAGAGATTCAATGTCGAGATTTTCGAGCTTCAAGTTTTATCGTCTGCTGGTGAATGGGAGCCCTGTGTTTTTAGTACTTCCCCTTTTGATCCCGGATCCGAGGCAAGAATTCAATTTGAAAGTCCCAAAGGCACTCGGTTCATAGAAGATGTTAAGCCCCCGGCAGCTTGGGAATGGGATCAGCTACAATGGGAATTAGATCCTTACAGTTATAGTTGGGTAGAAGAGCGAGATATTACCGGAGTTGAAGTAGAGATGGATGATGGTTCGTGGGTATTTGACCTTCGATATGAGAATACCAAATCTACAAATGAGGCTGAGGAACAAGAAAAACAGAATTTTTTACCTGAGAAAAAGAGTGCGCACTATGAAACATCTAGCTGGGAGGAAGGCTGCAATGTTACTGGTGACCCTAGTTCTAGGAGAGGTGAATGGAGACGTAGACGTTGGACTCGTTCGGTGAAACGGATAAAGACCCCTGTTTTAGATTGATATATTATTTGATGAGTATATTTTCTCGCCGTGATAGATTTGAATGATAGATTGGTTTAGTAACATTCTAATGTCCCAGGCACCTGGCCTGCATCTAAATTTAGATGCCAAGTACTGTTGATCCCTAAAGACTCAATGCTACCAAAATATAATAGACATAAACTAAAGATAATAATTTTATTTACGTGTTTCTGATTTTTTAAATTCCTTAATTGTTTGATTATCTTTCGAGCTATGACGGTCACCAAGGCATGATATATACACGGTGGATGACTCTTTTGACTTTAAAGAAACTCAGTATCTGTCTCACTCTTTGATTATAATTGATTTGCAGGTCCTCTCTACCTACATGCCGAGGATACCAGAAGTATATCCTCTCTTATCCCCCCATACAGCTCCCGTCAAACCATATCCCCCCTCGCAAACCCTCATTCGATCGTACAATCAAAGAAGCCCTTTGTACTTCGTTACCTCCCATCTCCAGCCAACGGAATGATTACCATTTACGGGTGTATGGCAGCCGGGAAAAATCGCAAACACCACTGGGTGCGGAACTCTCCTAATACCGACATTAGGACTAAATCCAAAGACATAGTGATCCTTCCGAAGCGTTCAAAGAGGCCGGCCAGCTGGGCGCTGCAGACTTGTGGGTACCTCGGGAAATTTACGCTCTGCCTTTCTAGCCTCCTTCCAACTCCTTCCCGAAGGTCGTGGTGAATTGTCAGAAAAGTCTTGACAGGGCGTGATTGCTGTATGGCAGCTTAACCCAACTTCTTCTTCGCCGTCCAGGGCGCTGGGGAGTGCCGTTGACTCATCAACAAATGAAGCCCTCCTGGCTAATTAGCCGAAATCTTAGTCTTGGCACCAACAAAAAATCCAGAGTTGGAGACTCATTATTATTAGTCCCAGCATGGTCTCCAGAGACCTGTGCCCCTTTTCGCTCCACGTCTCAGGCATCTATGCACCCTCAAGTTGTTTGTCCCATTAAAGCAACAGTCCCCCACAAGCCAAGACCCAGGCTTTGTATTTTCCGACTTGATTTCCTCCTTGCGAATATAAATAGCGTCGTAAATTTGTAGTAAGTGATGGTCGGTAATTGTTGAGGCAAGCTCCTGTTTGCAATTGGGGTGACGCCTTTATCGGTCGTCGAGGCGTGATGATATGTGGTTAGAAAGAGGTTGAGGACTCAGAAAATAATGGTGAGTGCTGCATGATTTAGAAGTCGTCAAATAGAGATATACATGTGTTTGCTTTCGACTTCGATTTGGATGCGATTCTTCTTGGATATCCCAGATATGCAGAGCATACTGAGCGATTACGCCGGCACCCCTGCAAGGTGAAGAATTCGTCTATGCCGGCTACCGTTTCCATAGAATAGGCTGCTGAAGAAGCCCTGATCTAGGATTGTCATCGCGCATAATCATCCAATACCTTCCAAAAGTCGACTAACAAACTGGATTATCACTTTCATCACATGACATACAACGTCAGCTGACGAGAGAAATTACACTTATGTGCTAGAAGAGCCATAATTATAACTTACGATACCCTTCAGATCTCTATGACGAACAGCGAGACTCCTTTGCTTGAAGTTCATGAACTACGCGTGATCTCGTCAGTCAGTCCTGATTGAAAGAAAATGACCAGGATTGTCCTGCCCACTACTTGAACGTCTCGGACATCACCACTTTCCTTGGTTAGCTGCATCGTGAGGGACATGAGTGATGGTTTCCGCATAGTTGCGTGGAGAGAAATATTTGAGATGAGGATTGATGCTCAATCCAACTTGATCATAACTTGATAATAACTCTGCAGATCTTAAGTGAGGACTACAGCTTTGTATGGGACATTGCTACTATGCACTAATTCTTTCCTCAGGAAATCTAGATTCATCCGCATACAGTCTTTTTGACTCGAATCAGACTTTACAGTAATCAAGGTAACCATGAATCATCTTCAGGGGTTGCAGTCTCAATCCAACATTTGGAACATCGTTTCTAGATGGATCCGTTCTTTCTCGTGAGAGATAAACCGCTGCTCAGTGTTGATCCTTCAAGCGATCGTACCATCGATGCTGGGATCGATTGAATTTCAGATGAGACAAGTAGCTTAATTCATGAGAGCTTTGCATATCAAATCTATGAAAAAGGAGAGTTACGCCTGGAACATGACTTTTGCGGTATCTCATTGACACCTACCAATTATTTACGTACCAAGAGAATATCGGTTGCTAACTCCATTTCTGCTGGGGGGAGGGGAGAGAGGGGGAATCTGAGCGTCAAACATGGAGTTGAAGTCTCGTAGACTGATTTGTGAAAAAACTCCTCGATACCCGATACTAGATACTCAAAAATGAGGAGCCCAGTGTGCTACATAGTCTATGACTCAAGTAGTACAATAAACACACACACATACTCGGAAGCGAAAGTTTCGCTTTCATAATATGTTCATAATATGTTCATAATATATTCATTACATGTTCCGTACATTTGTATCACGTCTACCCTCACTTCAGATATTGCAAACTTATGGACGTCATATGACTTGCTTCATCTTATACCCCTTGCATCTCTTTCGGGACTTGTTTGAACTTCCGCTTCGTTTATGTCTACTCATGACTCTTCCATCTACGGATTTCATGCTACAAACCATTTTACAGCAATCCATTCGTCATCGCAAAACGACTGTCTACAGTGATTCGTAAGATGTTTTATGTGAACATGACTACTCAAAAGTGGATGCCCAAATGATGGAAAGAGCTACGCATAGCAGCCTCTCATTTCTGGCAATCATATTCAATTTTTTGTTATATAAGAACGATGGAGGAACGGAAATTATAGACTCATTATCATCATCTACATTGACATTTCAGTTCTATTTAGTTTTCGGTTTCGTTTTTAATTTCCCAAATATTCTTCTTACTTCCCGGCCCGGTGCTGTTAATATCAAACCAAATTACTTAATAATCACAGATCAACACAAGACCAAAACAACATCAAAACAACATCAACAAATAAACCGAATCTATCAAGTCTTTCAAGTATATCCCAGATATCAACAAATCCAAGGAGTCAAATAAAAATTGAACCATCTTATCCCGTTTATTTCGACATAAATTACCTCTATCAATATGCAGTACTCATCAGCTATTCTCATTGCTGCTTTCGCAGTTACTAGTGTCTTTACCCACGGAGTGGTTGATTCAGTCGTTGGCGCTAACGACGTTACTATGCCGGGTCTCTCAGGTATGTGACTCGCCACGATCCCTATCCCTGTCATCGTTGTTGACATTGACCTTGACCTTGACCTTGTCACTGTCACTGTCCCTGCCCAAGCCCCTATCCATATCCATGTTTATGTCTTTGTCCCTGTCGTACACCCACTTTGAGTCGCTTCTGACACGAATACTACAGTTGCCGACGGCACGCCGCGTGATTGCGCCAGTCCTCGCTGCGGATCTGAGGCTGATACTTCTATCATCCGTAAACGTGAGATGGGCACCAACAAGGCCACTGCACTTGGTCGCACTCAGGGCGGTGGTCCCGTCGACGCCAGCAAGATGATGGCCATGTTCATGGGAGGCGGCGGCAATGCTACGGCGACAAAGGAAGCACGGGAAGTTCACGCAGCCAACGTCCTTCGTCGAAGTCTTGGAGAGCGTGCAGCCAACGGAGGAACCAAGACTCCTAAGGGCACCTTGGAGACTGGTGTCAAGGCTGCAGCTGGAGCTGGAGCATCCAGCGGCATGCCGACTTGCTCGGACGACGGCAAGGTCAAGATGACCTACCACCAAATCAACCAAGACGGAGCCGGGCCATTAACGGCCATGGTTGACGCCACTTCGGGTGGAACTGACCCAGCGGCATTCAAATCGGCCGAAGTAACACAAAATGTGCCGGGAATCGGTATTGGAGGACTGTCAGCCGCGGCCGTGATGGACTTTCCGGTAGAAGTACAGATGCCAGCGGGAATGACATGCTCTGGAACAGTAGGCGACGCTCAGAACGTATGCATTGTTCGCATGCAAAATGCAGCAGCAGCAGGCCCATTTGGAGGATCGGTAGCAGTGACGCAAAGCCCGGCTGCCAAGAAGCGTGCTATTGAGTACAACTTGTCCAAGCGTCACTTTGCCCGAGCTCTGGCCAAGAGAAACGCCGAAGATGACGCAGCAGCAGCAGCAGCCATCGCAGAGCTTGAGAAGATCGGATCTGCAACCAAGGATGAACAAGCCGAAAAAGAAGATGCCGTCGTAGCACCTTTGACCAAGAAAAGTGCCGAGGATGACGCGGCAGCAGCCGCAGCGATCGCAGAGCTCGAAAAAATGGGATCGGCCACCAAGGAGGCAGACAATGACGTGATTGATGCTGAAACTGCGGCCGAGGATAAGGAATAGAGGGTTATGACTTTTCATTGATTCGATTGTATATTTGAGAATAGCTAAATAGAAGTATTAGCTTTTTGTGCAATGAATACCAATAATGCTGCGCCGAGCTGTCTTAGTATACTATGTGATGAAGTGCAAATATAATTGGTAATGATAGATATTAGTGAAGCTCCGATATTTATTAGTTTGAGAAATCAGTAAACATTGCAAGAAAATTCAAGCTATTTCTTGTTGTACTGAGACAGGTGTTATGTATTTTACCCTTATTTAAATAGAAGATGATAATATTCGGTTTGAGAGAGGGGTGTACTTATTGTACTACTTGAATCTTAGACTATCTAGCACATTGGGCTCCCCTCTGACCCAGGCCACACCTTGTACAGTGCTCCTATTCTCTATTTTTACTGGTAAGATCATAGATACATTTCCCGTGATTTATAGCCATTCAGTTCTGTGTTCACCCGTGGAATTCAGCCACATTTTGCACGGAACCTTCTACCGAAAAATAATGGTAGAAATGGAAACTGCGTGCGTGGGCAAAAGTCTCAAAAATCCTCGGGCCCAGTCAGGCGAGGCCATGATATTGGGACCACAAGAGGTGCGCTTATCTATCTATATCTCCCACCTTTGTAACATTGGAGTCTAACTTGATTTAATCCACTATCTCCGTATCGGATGCTGGGTACGTTTCGGAAACTCGTCGGATGGCTTTTCCTATGTGATCAAGGGTAGGTAATGAGTAGGGCTCCAATCATCATCTGATCGGATCGGATCGTGGTTAGCTTTATGATAATGGTGATAGGGAGATGAGCTTAGGGATGAAGACGATACAGACCGCGAAAGCGAAGGCTAGTGTCCATTGAAGGGAGGACTTCGCGACACAATATCGGCTTTGCAGACCCTACAGTGAGAGCTGGAGGTTCGTAAGGGGCGCTACTGACAGATGTTGAGAACAGTCCCCCAGAGGTTGTAGTGTGTCCTCAGGGAGAATAGACCCATATTAAACCTGTTAGCTGTGGGGCATAAGCCTGATAGGATATGAATTCAAATCAAATCTCTTTAAAAAAACAAGAACAGGCATGTATTGTTGATTCCTCACTGAGGTTTCCAAAGGATAGCCCTAGTTCGTGTTTGTTTGTTTATTTGCATTTAACGCCAAGTAGGCTCACGGGTATGACCCGGCCTCTATGCCCAAGAATGGGCGTTTGGCGTGTCCGCATAGCCTATTACTATCGGACAATTCTATCGTCTAAAAAAACTACCGTATCCTCCCTTTTTTGGCAATTAATGCTCGATATTAATGCAAGGTAGAGCTCTAGGCCACTCTATTCGTGTAAATTCCTCAATGCCTAACTCCTTAATACTCCCCCCCTTTTTTTTAAATTGCTATGATTAAATTACAAATTTGTGCAGTTGTTTCAAGGTAATCCTATCAATGTCATCACTAATCTTGCTTCTACACTGTGAGAACTTATTGTTTGTATGGATGAGCTGTGTTGCACCATTTTCCAAATTCTCTCGCCCCTGTTGTTGTGCCGAGGATCCACATTATGTCCCCCTCCTTACCCCGAGATAGACTTGGTCTCGGAGTATTATTTCGGTCAAGTTTCCTGCATGCAAAGGGATGTTCCGGAGCCTTTTCTTCTCCACAGATATACAATAGCTTGACGTATTGGTGCTGGAAGCATCTGTGATACGTGGGGTAATCTCCGTGAGCGGAGCGGGCAGTAAGGAGTAACGTGAGATTTTTCCGAGATAAAATCTGCAATTCCTCAGGCATTTGTCCTGTCATAGGTATCTTCAGACTCTTATATCTACTCGGAGCGTGATCCTTCCAAAATTGGATGATGCTACTCTCGTGCCGCCCCTTTATGAGGCTTTTGGCTCGGTATATCGAAGCTTTTGTCCGTGTCGTTGTTTCGCTGCAGGCCTCTCTAGCTAGTACGTCTGCACGCTCGTTTCCTTTGATCCCTGCGTGACCCGGAACCCATTGTACTTTCACCGCACCCTCTACCTCTCTCGAAGAGTGCACTCTACTCATCCAATTTTTCCTCAGTTCCTGAAATTCTGTAATCTTGACCGAGCTGGATGGGCTTAGGTAGCCAGTGTGCAATCGTAGTGCCGCTTCTTCATTATCCAGATATACAACAATATTTGTAGCGTATTTGGCCTTACAATGTGCTATGGCTGCTTTTAGCCCCTCGACTGCCCCGATAATTTCTGCATCAAATACTTCTGCAGTCCGACCGAGGGGAATCTTCGCATTTGTAATTTCTGAGTTTGGTCCCCGGTAGATGCAATACGCACTGCCTGCATCTCCTTCCTTATTCATTGCCCCATCTGAATATATGAAAAGATCTAACAAATTGTGTCTCTGGCTTTGCTCCCAATTTCGATATTCCATCAGACCTTTTTCTCGGCCGTTAGCCCCAATCTCTTCCTTTGCTTTACTCCTATCAAGACTAAGCCAAGGGGGGGTGATAGTGTCCAGCGAAAATTCGACTTTTTGGCGGCTCCTAATCCATTGGAGATGTTTTGTATTCCAACGGCTTCGTAAGGGGTGCTTAGGGTCAGCCGAGGCAACTCTAATTACAAAGCGATCGTATATTCTTTCTACCCAGATAGTTGCTGGAGCCCATCCAGTTTCCCGCAAAAGTGCTTGGACAGGGGTAGTTTTATACACTGGTAATACAGCTCAAGCTGCTCTATTAACTGCTATTTGGACTTGATCTATTGCCCATTTGGACGTTTTTGGTCCATACCACGTCTCAGCTCCGTAGAAAAGTGATGCAAAAGCTATACCTTGGAAGGCTTGCCGCAGAAGAGCAGGTTGGGCACCTTTCACAGTGTTACATAGTCTCTTGACATGGTCAGTGACCACTCGACAGCGCTGGCAGGCTCGCCGTATATGTTCCTTGAATGATAGCTTCCTATCAAAGACTATCCCAAGCCAGCGTGTGTGATCATTCGGAAGAACTAAGGTGTCCTCCATCATTAAGGGAGGTTCCTGATATTTTCTCTTATTATGAAAATATTGGAGCTCAGTCTTCGTTGTTTCAAACTGAATACCGTTGTCCCTACCCCATTGTAGAGTTCTTGTCAGTCGTAACTGTAGTCTCTGACTGCATTCCTCAAGATTTGGGCCTATTTCGAACATTTCGATATCATCTGCATAGCCGAAACATCCGCGTGCAAGGCGCATGACTGGTTATACATAGAGAAGAAATAGAATGGACGATGTTGGAGATCCTTGTGGTAGACCACATAGAATCTGGAAAGGGTCTGATACTTCTCGATCGAGTCTGATTCTTGCCGACCGGTTTTGAAAGAAGGAGCTTACCCATTGCACTACGTTCTCCGACCATCCCTGAGTCCTCAGTCGAAAAAGGAGTCGGTTTTGCAGCACCCCATCGAAGGCCCCTTTCACATCAACCGTCACCATACCTGCAATTTTCCCCTTGCGGAGTGCTTCATTAACATCACATACCAATGCTGTCGTTAGATCCGTAGCTGACCGTCGGCTTATTGCACTACACTGGTCCCAACCTAGGATATCAAACTTCAAGGAGCAGAAAGAGAGACGCCGTGCGAAGAGCCGTTCAAGTCCTTTTCCAAGACAGGAAAGAAGAGCAATAGGTCCGTTTGATTTAGGTAGTGTTCGATCCCGTTTTCCAGATTTTGGCAAAATAACAATGTGTGCGCGCTTGAATATCTTTGGATGTACCCCATGTACTGCGCATTTATTGAAAAGCCTGGTTATCCGCTCCCCTAATATTGGCCATGAGAGTCGAATAATAGGAGCCGTAATTTCATCCTCCCCTGGTGAGGTTGAAGATACCTGACAGGTTGCCCGGAACGATTCTACTTCAGAGAATGGTTGCCAAGGAATACGCCTCGAGGCTACCGAGGGGGTTTCTTCTGGGATATCTGTTGCCTCCAGATGTCGGGAGAGGAGCACTCTATGGAGTAGTGCTGCTTTTTCTTTCGGATTCTGGATTTTGGGCTCCCCATCTGGTCCCTTTAGTGGTGGTGTCTCATACTTGGGCGGAGTGTTGTGCCAATTCACAATCTTAGATACTTCTGGGAGAGACTCCGATTTTTCGATTCTTGTAGTCCAGTACTCTTTCTTCGCACGTCTGACGGCATCTCGGAGCTCTTTTCGTTCGAATTCATGCTTTCCCTTCCGTCTTGCTGCGTAGTACCTACGAGCTGCGAGCTTACAATCTTTGTTCCACCAGACGGTGCCATGGTTCTTCTCTCTGGCGCGAGGGCAGGCAGACTGGAGTGCCGTTCGGATCACTTTAGCAATATTTTCCGCTTCTTTTTCGATGTCGTCTACTGTCGAAAGATCTGGGGGATCGCTATGGCATCTCAATAGAGTTGTAAATAAAACTTCGTTAATTGAGTCATACCGTAGTCGTCTCTCACTATTTTAATTCGCATTGTATTCACCAGTTAAGGTGATCACCATTGTTTCGTGGTCGGATGTGGTGTGAAGGTCAGAAGGGATTTCACATTTAGCTCCGGCTAGGGAGGAGAAAGCTAGATCTAACGTTCCGCCGCCCCTGTGTGTCGACATTTCCGTTGGGTTTAAGAGAATAGGTTCTTTCTCTCTTGCCCATTCTAGTAAGTCTGCGCCCCCCCTGAGAAGTGTACGTGGAATGCGAGTCCCAGATTGGGTGTCGCAAATTAAAATCTCCACCGACAAATTCAGGAGTACCTGTCGATTCGATTGACCTTTTAAGGCCTTCTCCCGCTCTGATTGACCCAGCTGGAGCGATGTACACATTCCATACAGCTATTTTCCGACCACGCCCGGTGGAGATAACCACCTGCAGTAGGTCTGGAGAAGTATTAATTGCACTTTGGTATGAGCGCAGTCCTTGTGAACTGCTAATGTAGTTTAGAACTCAGGGGCGAGTATGCCATTCGTCTAGTGGTGAGAAAAGCGCAAATTTTGGGTGTGAAATTGACCTTTTCGCTGTTAGATCTTTTAATGTCCAAGGTTCTTGTATGAGTAGAGCGTCAATATTATTTTCGTGTGCCAGCTGGAGAGCCATATTGTGCGCGTAAGCTCCTCTTCCAACATTTACTTGCATGATTCGGATTGGTCTGATTTTTAGATTTTTCTGTCTCCTGACCATATTTAATGGGTAGGGTTGAGTTCAGTGAGGGTCTCGGCACCGCTCTCTGCCGATTCCTGAGTATGTCTCAAAGTATTGGCAAGCTCTCTTCGTCCAGTGGCGCGTATATGTCGCAACTGTGCCCCTGTTGGGCGAACGAATACACCATGATCTCTGTGTGGGCGAGCCGGGCATGAGGTATCAGTAGATTCGTGAGGCCCACGGCAATTTAGGCACTGTATTTGTCGTGAGCATGGACCTTCGTGAGAATCCATTCCGCAAGAGGAGCATTTAAATTGTCGGGCGCAGGTTCTCGTGGCGTGGAAACCAAAACATTTATTGCAGGTGTGCAATAGCTGCTTGTTCGAAACTCGTTGAACGCTTGTTGCTTGTCCGAAAAGCTGCATCCGGGATGGCACTTTGTGTGCCCTCGCCTCAGGAACATGAATTCTGATGTGCCCAAACGGGCTCAGAGAGTCTATAGACCGACGTGTCCAGGCTATGTGTCGAATAGGAGTGTCATATTTTATAGCTCGAATCGCCGGCTCCTCTATTAGAAGCCCTTCAAGTGGGTCATAGGCTCCGTCTAATGTGTTAACTTTCTTTGGAATAGGGCCGACAACAAATGTCGTCCAAGTCTCTTGTCTTACCACCGTAGCATTACCAAATCTTGCAGCAATGGCTTCACTATGCTGTAAAATACTAGCTGCTTTTGCCGGCGATGCAGCAAGTACTGCCACGCCGGACGGAACCTGCCATGCGTCAACAAGTGATGGGTCGGGGATCAGCATTTGGACTTGTTGGCGGAGTAAAAACGGGTCTGCTTTTCGAGCTTCGTGTTCTCGATCTAGCCGAATCATGATCCTTTTGTCTTCTTTGCTCTGATTCTGGGGAGGCGTGGGTCTTGTCATGGGCCGACGTACATCAATGTTTGTTCCGGTCGAGACCCCTGCAGCCGCTTTGGAGGCCCATGTCTTCTTGTTGTCATTTTGAGTGGAGGGCTTTTGCTCTTGCTCGTTCATTGAGCTCTTGTAAATCTTCTGTCCTCTGATGGCTCGTGATACCCCCTCTGAGATAAGGGCTAAGAAGTCTGCACCTGCTCCCGGGCATTCCTTTTCCATATCTTCAAGGTACGGTCCAACTAGATTAAGTAAACCTCTGGCTTTTGAGATGAGAGAAGTACGGTAGCTCCCTGCGGGCTCGCTATTTTCTGTGTCCATTGGGGTCACGCTGGTTTCCTCTTTGTCAGCATCTATTTGCTACGTGGGGATTGTACTTTTAGGAAATGTATTATCTGTCAACTGATCTTCTTCGATCGTGTCCTTGTCCCTAGGACTCAAGACCTGGTGAGTGTCGGGAGGAGCATTTTGGGGCACTAATGCCTGAAGTCCTCGAGAAACAGCGAATCCAAAGATTGCTGCATTTAGCTTCGAATTTGAGCGGGTGGCAATGCCATCACTAAACTGCCCCCTTCCAGAGTTGCTTGCGTGTTTCTGAATGCGATGCTTTGCATCCAGTGCCTCGGACACCTCGCGCTTTCTGCCGCGAGCCGGAGGAGCCATATCCTCTGCTTAGAGAACAGGCTTGAATTTACAAATTTAATTTGCTCTGATGATGGAAGTTTTTTTTAAGATGAAGTTGTGTGTGTGTGCATGATAGTCCTAGTTCCACATAATGAAATACATAAAGGTGTCAATAAAGTCACCTGACGTACAGCGTGGAAAGTGATCCTTTAACAAAATCAAATCCCGAGAATCATCGGCGTTTTACACACGAAGATGCCTTAATGACTTGCTCCTGTGGCGAAGAAAAAAGTACGGACCACTTCTTTCACTGCAGCATAGGAAGAAGCCGGGCTCGCCTTAGTGGTGGACCTCGGCACTCCAGCCCCGGTATTAAATGGGTCCTCAGCACGCCTAAAGGGGCACACGCCTTCGGAAAATGGGTGGAGCTGACAAAGTTCTACGACGAAGTCCAACGGGCACATTAGATATTTCCCTTGAGATTTTTGGTACTGCGTGAATAGTCTGCGGGAGTAATTTCAAACTACTTGTAAATAAAAAGTAAAATCCCGGGTAGAGGGAAATTTGCTACATTTAAATTGGAAAGCAGAGTAGCGGACAGCAGGTCGGACTCTTTTGTAGTTTCTAGGTGCTGTAGGACGCGCTAGAGCGTCGGGTAGTTCTGTAGGGACTGGGCCGTCCAGCACGTGACTAAGGTCACGAGCTGTAGACAGGCACGACGTTAAATTTAATCAAATCAAATCAAATCAAATCCCGACCGACAGCGGAAGGCCCTGGAAAGCTCTACTTTCCCCATGGTCTCCCGGCATCGACACCAGGCAGTCGGGAAAAAGAAGCTAGGTCAGGAAGCATCAAACGATGGTTAACTTCCCTTCCAGCCAACGCAGTCTGTGCCTTCTCTGATGGATCCTCGTCGGGTCCCGGGCAATCAGCTTGGGGTTATGTGGTATACCAAGGAGGCAAACTAGCTGGAAGTGGCTCGGGTCCGCTTCCCGGAGCAGAGGTATTCGACGCAGAAGTTGTAGGCGCTATGAAAGCCTTGGAGGCTGCACTAGCGGTGGGAGAAGGCTTTCCGGTCAGCATTCTTCTGGACAATCAAGCGGCCGTCAGAGCGCTCGAACAAGGAAGATCCAATTCCTCGCAGACAGTGGTGGACAAGTTCTCATCGCTGAGACATAATAGGCGTGTAGAAATACACTGGATACCTGGTCATGTGGGGATCCAAGGCAACGAAGAAGCCGATAAGCTGGCCAAATCAGCCCTGGGAGATCTCAATGACCAATCACTAACCTCAGCTTCGCCCAACGGAGACGAGCAAATTCTGACCTTTGCGGCTCTAGGGAGACTAGTGAAAATGCGGAGCCAAAAGCTTGTGGAAGAGTGGTGGCAGAAGTATCGGCCTAAACGATACAAAGATCTCGACCTCTACATGCGCTGCAAGCGACCGCCGGAACTGGCTCTGCCTCGATGGGCGTATCACCGTCTTATTGCGGCAAGAACAGGCCACGGGGACTACGCCGACTACCACCGGCGTTTCAACCCCGAACATGAAGATCTGATGTGCATTTGTGGCCGAGAGAAAAGGCCCTGGCATTTTTCAGAGTGCCGACCTGCTCTGCAACGTTGGAGAAGCTGTGAGAAAATGACTCCACCTGGGGTCAGGGAAATGATAGGGGAGAAGGGATGGCAGAAGTTTTTCCAATTCCTAACCATAAGCAGATGCTACAGTCTGCCGAAGAACTGACAAGGTGGGAGTGACCATGCTGAGATAGTTTCTGGCTCGAGAGGAGAGGTGTTTGGAAGATAGGGATACGGTGCAGGGCACCGTAACTCAGACATTTGCTGTGATTTTATTTTTCTTTTGTCGCTTCTGGCTTTAATGCCGGTCATGTAGGTAGCAATGAGCTCGTAGGGCCCATCTACCCGTGTCACGTCTAAATAGATGTTGGGTTCGTCCTGTCACGTTAAAGATTTCAAATTCAAATTCAAATTCAAATCAAATCCCGAGACATGCCTATCGAGACATTTTCATACCGCCATTTTGAACACGCCCACGTCACAATTAGACAGCATGAGTCCTTGTAGACGGAAAAAGCCTGCCACGATCGCATTACCTGCGAAAATAATTACGCGTGCTGCCAAATGCGTAAGACTTAAGAGCTCACTTCCATCTGCACGCGAAAAGCCATACTTGCAGCTTCCTCTGAGAGTCACCATTCTCCAGTCGAGTCAATTCTGATTGACTCCGAAGATGAGTCCATGGACTCAAGGTCAGAAAATGACTACCTCCCCGACCTGTTGCATATGCTCGAGCCTGCAACTAGGGCCCCAAAGCTACAAGCCACAAGAGTCTTGAAAAAAAATTCTGGTACAGGCCTTTCCAGTTCTATACATGCCTCTTCTAAAATTCCACCTATACATACTCCGAAAGTAGATACCCAATCTACCCCCCCTTCGACGCGTGAATCAGCGCGTGTAATACACCAACCCTCAGCGGCCACGACCAATGACATTGCCACATCGTTATTAGCATGGTAAAACGCCGGTGTTCAACACCTTCGCGCTTTTCCACCGGCTATTGCAGCTGATCTAAAAGCTATCATGACACGCAGCGCCGCCTGGGTCATTGCCGGCTTGCCAGTCTTTGAGCAGTCAACAACTGTCTCACAAACTAATGAAAACAAGATAAATTATCACCCTCCCGTAATAAACTCACCCCTGTCATACGCATTTACGGCAAAGAAGGCTCCCCTATTCTAGCCCCGCCACTCTAGACTAAGAAAAAAACTGCACCATTAGCTGTAAAATCCAAGCCCGACTCGAGGGTCATGGTTCGCCTAGCGCCTGATCACCCCTTACGCCACCAACATTCTCTCCTTGTCCGCACAAAGCTGAGAAGCCTTCTACACCGTCCACAGCTTATCAAGGACATTCGTTCAGTTTCATCTGGCATTGCTTTGGTTGTTCCCTCTCCTAACCAAGCAACAGATCTTCTTCTGGCAGCTGTAGCTCTGCAGCTCATGACTGGAATTTTACCAATTGAAAGTCAAGAAAAACGCACAAACTTTCTTCTAGGCCCAGCTCTAAAATACAGATACAATTCCTCCGGATCACCGGAGGCCTTATCCGGCAGGAGTTAGCAGGTGCCAAAATTGACACTGAGTCAATTTTCTCCATCTCATGGACGCGTCGATCGCGGGAATCCCCTTAGTGGGAAGGAACCCTCCGTCTGGTAGTCTCAAAGCCAGCTTCAGAGAAACTTCGGACCAGTATTCGCCTCTTTGCTCGCTCTGCTAGAATCCGGCCAGCTGATAATCGCCCCCGCCTTCAAGTCTGCCCCCGCTGTCACGGATTTCACAACATAAACAGCTGCACATGTCGAGCCAGGTGTAGCATTTGCGCCTTGGACTCTCATAATGGTCCCTGCATCACACCTATAAAATGCTTGAATGGCGCTGGCCAACACGAGGCTTCTTTCCCTGGCTGTACAGCCAGTCTATTTCGAGCCAACGGAGTCTTTGTTCGGCCAGACAAAGAGAGAATACGGCTGATTCGACAGGAGGGACATAAAGCATGGCTTGCCCTGCATCCTCGTCCGCCTCCTAGTGACCCCCTTATCGGGAGTGTACCTCTACAAGCCTCATGCGCCTTCGCTCCAGCTCCTACACCAACAGTGAGCTCGGCATCTAGGTTTGCTCCTCTGGTTTCCCTTGAGGAGTCACTATGAGGGTCCGAAGCAGGAACCGAAGAAAGCAGAAAACCCCAGGACTCTGTCGGCACGCCTGAAGGTGCCCTCGCCTTCGGAAAATGGGTTGAGTTGACGAAGTTCTTCGACGAAATCCAAAGAGCCCATCAGATATTTCCAAGTGTAATTTTACGATCTGGTGTGGGATTTATGTTAGATGGAAGAATTTATTCTTCTTTTCTTGTTCTGCGGGTGTTATTTAAAACTACTCGTAAAAAAAAAGTAAAGTTCCTGGTAGAGGGAAATTTGCTACATTTAAATTGGATTGTAGAGTGGCGGACAGCTGTTTTTTTTTTATTTTTACTTTTGGTCCTAAGCTATCTCTATCTTTTCCACACTGGGTCAAGGACCGGTGGAGCCGGCAAGGATCACTGCGTACAGGCCCAACTCATTCCAACCGCATGAACTTCTACTGAAATTGGAGAAGTTAACAGCAAAACTAAAATCAAAAACTGAAATCAAATTTGGAAGAAATACTGTTTGGTCCGGATCCCGCGCTTCTCGCCCGTTCCCTTTCCTGCCACATCTTCCACGTGCCTTTTTCTTATCTCCGCTGAGAGCGAAAGACTAGTTCGCAGATACCCTGAATTCAGCTGGTATCCTGCTATATATTTTGAAGCTTTCTGTAGACTTCACCGAGGGTTGCTGTACCCTCAAACTTCTTCTTCGGATTCCAGGATTCCGAAACCCGATCCCTCGGCCATCAAGACATCCTTCGTTGAGGCCATCGTTGCCTCTTCGGCCCTTTTGGCTGCAGCCCTAAATCGAGCCACTTTCGCGAACTCCCCTTGCTGGATCTGGCGGATCCGCGCGAGCTGCTTTTTTGTCACCGGTACGGACTTGCTGGGTCTGGCTAAGCAGGCCCGGGAATCCGATCGGTAAGTGTCGGTTCATAGGTGAATGGCGTTCGGATAAATGGCTTCACTTGGATATGTACTTTTGTAAGGATTGGTCAATGTATCACGTGACTTGGCTCGGGCGCCAGGCTCCAATTTGTAATTTAGATATTAGTGCTGGAGGAAAGAGAAGAGGGGAGAATAGATAGAATGATACCACTTGTTTATAGCACTTTTGAGGCATTGAACCTAGTGAACCCCGTTGTACCAACAGTGAGGTCCCCCACAGTTTCGACACCGGGTGAGGGCCTCGCACTCTGATTCTGAGTGCATTTTAGATCCGCATTTCCAGTAAGCTGGAGCGCAGGAACAACCACGGGTGGCGTGAAATTCATGACACTTTTTGCAT